TCTCTGCTCTGTGTTGTGTGACTGTGGGCAAGGTGACAACGCCTTCCTCCTCGCAGGCTTGGGGAGGAGCCCCGGGTCGCCTGGGGAACGCCCCAGGCGCAGGGCGGTGCCCCAAGCAGTCTCCACAAGTGACCCAGCAGCCTGAGGGGGGCATGTGGGGCAGGGGGATGAGGACAGGGGCAGGGCCTGGGGACAGGTGGAGTTCCCTGCTGACTCTATGTGGGCATGGCCGTGAGTCCCTCTTGGCAGGAGTGGACGGTGGCTCCGGGGTCCCCTGGGCCACAGGTTCCATGGACGGTGGCGATACGGGTCTTGGTTGTGTGGCCGCGGACGTTTGCTGGAGCCAAGAGGCCGTGGGGGTGCGGGCAGCCTCCGCTCCACCGCACTCATGCGCGTGGCCCCCTCTGCCTGCCAACCCGGACACTTGAGGCTGGCCAGGATGTTTATCTCTGCCCCACCTCGCCCACCAGGGCTTCCATCTGTTGTCCCTGATGGTGCCCTCCTCCCAACGGCCAACCGTCTTCCCCAGATTGCTGTCTGTGTCACCGCCTCCCCGCCCTCGCATCTGCCGCCCTGGGGGCCCAACCAGCTGCGAGGAGTCCCTCAGCCTCTGTGAGCGGCTGGCGGAGACGCTGTGGCTGTTGTGGCAAAGTGAGTGGCAGAGGTGGGGGGACCCCGCCCTGGCCAGATTCTCGCACGAAGCCTGTGGCAGCCAGGCCAGCCCGCCCTGCCGGCCCCGCTCTGCAGACCCGGGCCGTGTGCATGTGTGTGCGTCTGTGTCCGCTGGGCCCCGGAGGGGAGTGTGTGCTCTTGTGCAAGAGGGCCTAGTAGGACAGACGATTTGTTGCTGCATGTCTCCCCAGACACCACTGGAGCTTGGGTCAGCCTCCCACTGCTTCCTTTTGGCCCTCGCAGCCCCCCCCGCACCCCACCCCACCCCGCCTGGCTGCTGCTGCTGGCAGGGAGCTTGCTGGGGGACATGTGGCTGCTGGAGACTCCAGTCTGGGTACAGGGCCAGCCTGGGCGTGTTCGTTGCAGGGACCGCTGAGTACCGGGGCTGGGTCTGAGCAGGTCACAGCCACGTCCACGCCCATACCAGCTATGGTGGCTGGCAAGATCTCTGTGGTCTCAAACCCTGGGCGTGGTGGGCGCTTCTCCTTCACGCTCCACTGACTCTGTCCCCAAGCCTGCTTGGTCAGCCTGGGGCTTGCTGCCCTGGGGACGAGCAGGTGAGAAGCCACATCCAGCTCCTGGAGGACGGCCCCCACCCCGCCCTACCCCTCCAGCCTGCCTGGGAGCAGCCCAGCAGGGGCCTGGGCCAGAGAGTGGCGTGGTCTGAACTGTGAGGGGCTGTGGGTGCTGTGGGTGGCCCCCCTGACCCCGGGACAAAAGGCAGGAGCCCTGGTGAGTTGCCCCTTTCTGGCGGCACTTGGCAGATACCCCACGGGATGGGCCAGTGGTGGGGACCTGGGCTGGCCATCCAGGCGCTGGGGTGGGCTGGGGAGGGCAGAGGTGTGCGGGCTTTCTTTCTTCAGTCTGCCCCCGCAGGCCGCCCCCCCAGGTGAGCACTGTGTCTCTGACCCTTCCTTTACTGACGAACGAACCACTGGTCTGAGGTCAGGGTCCCCAGGACATTGAGGCACTGGGCAGGGCGTACGGATGCTTATCTTGTTCTCCACAGTAAGCCTCAGGCCAAGAAGCCCACCCTTGTGGCCCTCCCCAGCCCCCCACTTCTGACCCTGCCGCGACCCTGGGCTGTGGGACCGCTCAGGGAGATAAAGTCACACAGGACCTTGCCATGCTGGGGCTCTTGCCGGGACCTGTCCCTGTCGAGTGTCCCCAGTCCCCGTGGGGGGCAGATGAGTGGGTACCAGGACGCAGTGGGGCTGGCATTGGTGGGTCCTGAACCAGGAAGGAGGTGGGAAGGTCAGGATGGGGGTGCCTGCCACAGCCGGGGGACCCTCCAGCTGGGCCTCTCTGCTCAGGGCTGGTGGAGACGTGGGGGCCCCACCCGTGTACGGGTGCCCCCATCCCAGGCTGCGGCTGCTGTGTCCCCACACCACGGCTGGTGGCCCTGGCCGTGGCCCAGCTCACAGAGCTCCTGTCACCCCTGCAGGAGCCAGAGCACTGGGGCCGGGCATGCCACCGCAGGCCAGCGGTGCACGGAGGGTCCTGTGCAGGCAGAGGACTCGGGGGCCTCATGTTGCCCAACGGGGAACCGGCCCAGAAGGGGGGCGCCTGGTGGAGCAGGGGGCGGGGCAGGCACTCTGGGCTGGTCCCAGCTCACGGGGTCGATGCAGTGCTGGGGTCATGTGCACCATCACACTCTCGTTCCTGGATTCTCCTTTTACTGACTCTGGAGCGTGGCCACCGGCGGCCGAGTTCACAACCCCACCGCTTCCCACAGAGGCCACTGCTCCGGACCCACGGTTCTCCTGCTCATGGGAAACCGGGACCACCAGCTGATCTCCAGAGACGTGGACATTGGTTCCTGTCGCCACAGCTCAGGATAACCCTTTCCCACTGCCCTTGAGGGAGCAGGGCTAGGAAATCAGGTGGATGCTGGGGAGGATGCTTACCAGGACATCAGCTGATATAGGCGCCCCAGGGCCAGGCAGGGGCGTGGCCCTCAAGTACAGACCCCAGGGGCCGCAGTGACCGTGGGGTCCATCAGTAGAAGCCGCGGGGGCCGCAGTGACCGTGGGGTCCGTCAGTAGAAGCCGCGGGGGGTTTCTGTCCAGCATGGGGAGACTCTTTGTGAATCAGCGGACGCTGAGCTGTCTCTGGGAGTCTCCTCGGTTGTCCGGCCTCTAAGGGTAGTATAGAGAACACCATGGTCACCCCCTGGTGATGTCCCCTGAGCTTGCCAGCCCCCGTGTAGCAGAAGGTGTTTTGTAGGCACCGTGTATCCCCCACAGTTCTCAGGAACCTGCGTGGGCAACGTGGCTCTCCTGGAAGGGCCTGCTTTCCCAAATCCCCGGGGCAGCCCTCTGTGACACCAGTCCCTCGAAAACATCGTGAAGAAACATGGGGGTGGGACCCATGGCATTTTGGCCTCACCGGGCGATGTCCCCAGTGGAACAGGCCAGCCAGGGCAGGGCAGACTCTTGGCCGGGTGGATGGGGCAGAGGGGATGGTGGTCTCGGGGCCATCGGTGGGGGACCACGTCGTTAGTCTAGGCCACCAGGTGTGGTCAAGGGCCCTGGGGCCAAAGGCTGGCTCTGCGGTCTGAGGCGCACACTTTTCTCCCCTTGTCCCAACTGCAGGAGAAGCTGGCTTTGGAGTAGAAGGGGCGGAACCTCACATTCCGGGCAGGGCCTGTCCCTGGGGCCGCCCCTTTCTTCTGCTGGTGGCTGAACATGGGGCCATGTCCTCTGCGACCAGGGGCCCACTGGGCTCAGAGCCCTGCCCTTTGTCCTGTCCTGGGGGCAACCGTCTCCAGGTATCCCTGCCTCCCCAGTACAGGCTCTTAGAATAAGCATCAAGGAGGCTCTCCATTCTGCCGGGAATTAGGAGGTCTTCTGCGGCAGACCCCCTTTCTCTGGGCATCCTGAAAGTGAAGCGTTCGTGGCCAGCTCAGCCATCCTGCTGCTCATGGATGCGGTCCGCCCTGCTTCGTGCCCTCCTGCTGGCATGAACTCACCAGAAGCTCACAATACCCAGAGGCAGGGCAGGGTGGGGTGTCTGGTCACCCGAGGTTACTCAGCCGGCTGGGGGCAGAGCGGGGATTTGAAGCAGCTCTCCTCCTCGGGGGCCATGCCAAGCTCAGAGCCAGCTGACAACAGCGTCCACGTCTTCCCCACCACACTGCCCTGCCAGGGCCGGCAAGAAGGCGACAGGACGCCCACTTCAGGTGGACCCGCCTGGGGTGCTCCCCTAGGAGGGCAGGGCCAAGGATGCAGGCCTGGGGCTCCTGGGGCTCAGACTTCTTCAGCTAGCATGTCCATGGGCCAAAGGATGCCCTGAGCGTGTGCCAGGGAGAACTGAGAAGCCAGGGCTCGCTCGCCCTGACCAGCCCCAAGGAGCCGAAGGCAGCGGCCTGGGCAGTGGTTCCCAGCGGGCTTTAGGCTGGAGGACTGAGACTCTCGTCCAGCCGCTGGGGCCGTGTCCTGGGCTGGCTCCCCGGGGCCCCCAGGCTGATGTTGCCCGGAACTGGGCTTGAGCCTGGGGTCAAGCCCCACCTCTGCCCCCAGCCCTGCACTGTGGCTAACCCCCGCCTCCCTCTAGCTGAGCCCGCCCCCCAGTCCTGGCCAGTCCACTTGCCACACACACAGCTATAGACTTCTGTGCCCTGGGAGGATAGGGGCGGGCCTGCTCACGGTCCCAGCAGGAGTCGAGGCCTTGCTGTCGCTGAGTGACATGGGGTAATTATGCTGTCACAGGCCACCCAGAATTCTCTCCCACCCTGCTGAGGGACAGCTGGTTAGGAAGGCTCCCCCAGGCCATCACCAGCCTGGGGCCCGCCAGCCCGCCATGCCCACCCAGTTTCCACGACTATCCTGAGGGTTTCCATCGTGGGCCAGGGGACCGGGGTAGGCCAGCCCTCTAGCCCTCAGTGGCCACCCCGTCCTGAGCAGGGATGGACACCAGGCTGCAGGCCAGCCGGCGGCCCTGGGAAAGCACCAGCTGACTCCAGGCAGGTGGCGACTGGAAGCTCACTGGGCTCTGCCCTTGACCTGGCCCGGTGGCCATGGCGACCTTGGTCATGGGGGTGCTGCCTGCCAGCCTAGGAGAAGTGATCCAGCCCCAACCCAAAGATAACCAGAGATGCTGCCCCCTGTCACTCTGGCTCCTCGGGACCCTGGGCCGCCCCGCCACCTGAAGGGCCAGAGCCAAGCCAGGTAGTGTTTGTGCTGATGAGGCGGGAGCCCAGTGAGGGACGGCCTCCTTGCCCAGGAGGGTGGCCGGGTCAGCATGAGGCTGAAGGACTTGGGGAGCCAGTGCGCCCCTGCTGCACACCTTTACTGGACCCTTAGTCTCCCCTTCTGTGAATTGGGTTGATGTTCGTGCCTGCCTCCAAGGCTTGAGGTGGCAATCGGAGAGAAGGTCATGGCACTGCCCTGCCTGGGGGCGTTTTATCGGCCCCCTACCTTTCTCGGTTGTGGGCACCCTGAGACAGGAGAGCGAGGGAGCAGGGCGGGGGCTGGAGGGCCGCAAGGGCTGAGATGCCCTCTGCTCAGCACGGCCGGGTCTCCACACCTGACTCATGGTCTGCTTCTCTGTCCCCAGGGAATCCGGGCTCTGTCCCCCTAAGGCTGAGGATGAGACCATGGCTGCCCTGAGGTGGCCCGGGCCCTCCCAGCAGCCAGGTGACCTGCGGGGAGCTCCCCACATGGCCTGGTCTGACAACATCGAGCAGCCAGGACCCCGGGGGAAGGCCCGCAACCACCCCGTGTGGTCAGAAGGCGAGGAGGCCAAGGATGGGGACAGCTCGGTGTCATCAGGCCGCCTCTCCGGCTCCTCTGGGGGCCACGAGCCCTGCACGTCTCCCCCTGGGCCCTGGAAGGAGAGGCTCCCCCAGGTGCTGGGGCCCCAGCGGCAGCCCAGAGAGAGCAGCCCACGGCTGGAGCTGCTGAGGGACAGGATCCGGGCCCAGGCCCAGGGGCAGGCCAGCTGCGCCTCCCTGGGCACCTCTGCCCCGTCCAGCGCCTCACGCCTCTACAGAGCCTCCAAGCCAGACGCCCGGAGGAAGGCGGGGAGGCTGAAGAAGGCCCCTCCAGCCCCATGGGAGGCCCTCGGGCCCCGGGCTTCCGCCGCAGGTGCTGCTTGGAGGCGGATGAGTGGCTGCTACGAGGGGCCTTGCCCCGCAGGGTCCTCACGGAACCCGCCCTCACGGTGCCCCTCTCGCTCCTCTCCAGGCTTAGGCGTCCCGAGGGCGGCTCCGTGCCGAGTGGAAGACAAGACGATCCCCGGCCCGGGGTGCAAGCCCTCCGGGGTCCCTCAGCGCCAGGCCTCAGGTGAGGGGCTGCATGGCCGTCCGTCCTGGCAGCCCCCATCCCGGGCCCTCTGGCGGCGGTCAGAGCGGACGGATCCGGACCCTGCGGCTTCCCTCTGTCTATGCCACTGTCTCTAGTGTGACCCCGCTCAGACCGCACTAGAGAGACCCCCACCAGAGAAGGGCCAGGCCCAGATTTGGACCGAGCCTCCTGTTTTCTGGAACGTGGCTTCCCGACCTCTGCCTCCCCCTCAGGGCAGGAAGGCGGGCAGGTCCTTCGAGGCGGCCCAGGTGCAAAGGGCAGGGGGTTCCCTGTACAGAATGGGTGACGTCTTTCCCGTGCAGTCACATACCAGCCACAGGGCTGGGCTGAGCCCTCCCCTGGGCCTGGGAGGTGCTGAGTGCTCGGTCGTGGGTAGGCAGGCTTCGTGCCGGTGGGAAGGGACCAGGGGCCAAGGGAAGATTTGGGCTCACTCCTTCACTCAACAGATAGGAGGGGTGAGGTTGGAGAGGCAGACAGGAGCCACGCTTGGAGGCCAGGGGGAGGTACACTTGAAGAGTCTGGAATGCACGTAGATGTCCCAGCTGGACATCTAAGCTGTCAGATGCTGGCTGGGTCCGAGGGTCCTGCCAGTCTGAGCCAAGGGGACAGCGTCCAGCTCTGGCCCAGCCGTGGGCTGCAGCCGCTCCCCATGCCAGGCGCCCCCCATGCCAGGCGCCCAAGCTGGCTGGGGCTCACAGCACCCATCCCACCTTCTCCTCCCCTGCCCACGGGGACCCCAATAGCCTCAGCTCCCCAAGCACCCCCCACCCCCCAGAGGCCACTGGGACCACTCAGCTCAGGTCAGGACTGGCCATGGGTCACTTGGGGCCTCAGCATCTAGTGTCATTGGTCACCACTCTTGACCGTCACGTCTCTTCCTCTGCGTGTTAGAACCCTCTGGAAGCAGGCATAGGGCAGGGCCTAGGTCTTTTCTTTTTAAATTATGCTAAGATACACATAACAAGACTTACCCTCTTCACCACTTTTCAGTGCACAGTCCGGGGATGACAGCGCGTTCACACTGTTGTGCACCATCTCCCTATCCGTCCCCAGGACGTGGTCCTCCGCCCAGACCGAGCTCTGTCCCATCACATGCAGACCTGCCCCTGCCCCCGCCACAGCCCCCTGTCTGTGGGCCTGACTCCTCTAGGGCCCTGTTTCGCTGGACCTACAGAATCAGTGCTTTTCGTGTGGGCTGGCCTGCTGGAGGCGCCTCCTGCCAGCGGTTCTGGGCAGTGAGGACGGAGGAGCCGGCCCAGGCCTGGGGAGTCCTTCGGGCAGTCTCTTCCCGAGCGCTGCTGGCCCCGCTCACACAGCAGTGGCCGATTGTCTTCCTTGTGCCCCCGCAGAGGCAGCCGTACCCCAGCCACGGACAAAGACACTGAGGCCGAACGGCACGGGGAAAGGTGACCACACTGGCCCTCGGGAAGCTGGTCCCCTCCTGCCAGCCTCTGTATTTGTCACAGGACTTGGACTACCTCTACCCCCTTGGGATTTCCATGTCCCCTCCTATCCAGCCAGGTGGACCCCACCACGCAAAGCCCCTGTAGCCCTCGTTCTCACTCCCCTGCCCCGCTGAGCCCCTGTCCAGCCTGGCTGGTCGCCGCTCTGGGACAGCTCACTGAGTCAGAGTAAAGGCTGTAGGTCAGCCTGGGTGGGCAGGGGAGACCCAGCTGGGAGGCCACTCTGTCCTCCTCTTGGCCCAGGCGTGCTGGAATCTGTGACCAATCTGGTTGGGGGTCTCTCCCAGGGTGACCCCATGCAGACCACCGACAGGGGCGGGCAGTCAAGCCTATCCCTCTGGTCCTGCTCTCGGCTGCCGGCTCTGGCACAGGTTCAGGGAGCCGGCCGGACAGGCGAGAAGCAGGGCGGCCTCTGGGAATGTCCCTGCTCACCTTCCCTCCCTCTCTCCTCCCCCGAAGTTTCCCGGGAGAAAGCCAAAAGGCAAAGTAGTTCTTGCAAGAAGGAGAAGACCCCCAGAGCGCCCGTCCCCCGGGGAGCCGCCAGAAACCAAGGTAAGGTTTGCCCGTCAGGGCCGCAACAGGGCCTGGGGGTGAAAGTCTGTGACCCCACTCACCAGGTGGGCACACGGCTTTCTGGTACATGCTTTCTGGTGCCAAGACAGCTGGCCGCCAGCAGAGGCCCGGGCTGCTGTGGGATCGGCAGGGGCCGGGCTTGGCGGGAACGGAGGTGTTCTTCAGGGCATGGGGGAGGGGCAGTCCTGGTGTCCGCATCTCGGGGAACCGCAGACCCTGGCTGTTACCGCAGTGCCAGGGGTCCCACCACGCAAGGGCCACCCCTGGAGATGGAGTGAAAGGGAGCAGTGGGCTGTCCTTGCAACGGACCCAGACTGAGGAGGTCTCCAGGCACACAGAGCCGCTCACCCCCCGTGCTTCACACACACGGATAGCCCGCACGCGTCTGTGTGAGTGGGCAGCTGCGAGGTGTCCAGGGGACAAGGTGTCTGCTCTGCGTCCACAGCATCCCCGGAGCCGCCGTGCCGCGGCCTTCAGCAGCGGACGCCCTGGTGGAGGGAGTGCTTTCCCTCTCCGCCGGGTCTGGGTTTGACTCCGGGCAGCAAGCCCAGAACACCTGCTTTCACCTGAGCCCTTGGTGGCAGGAAAGGCCTGGCATGTCCATGGTCTCTGGGCCCTCTGGGGGACTTGAAGCAGGGGTGCGCGTTGGCCGACCACGTCCCAGGAGAGTCACAGGAAGACGCGGGGATGGTGACAGGCTTGAGGTCCCAAAGGAATTTCTCCTTCAGGCATCTCTCCCCTGGGGCTGGGCTGGGGTGGTGGGGTGGCGGTGTCTGGCAGGGACCCAGCAGTCCAGCCTGGGTAGGCTTGGGGCCGTGCCCTCGGACTGGACCAGGCAGTCCCCAGGAGGGCCCTGTGTGGTGTGTGGGGAATGAGAAAGGCAGTGTCCCTCTGGGCGGTCAGTGCAGAGTGGCCACCCTCCCCGGACAGCAGCTTGGTGACCCTCACAGCCCTCCTCCAACACAGGTGGGCTCCCATTCTGTCGATGGGGACACTGAGGCTCCCAGAGGCCCACGCGGGCGAGCCAGCTCCAGGCCTGTGCCCCTCACCCGAGAGAGCCAGGCGGTGAGCGCTCTGCCCGTGCCCTGCGCCCGTCTCTCTGTTGCGCGCCCTCAGACCCGCACCTCTGCTGGGGACAGTGCTGGCTCCGGCGGGACGCGTGACTTCCTACCTCCTCCATGCTGGCTTCTGGGGCCCTCGAGGGAGGCAGGCGGCCGCCTTCCACTGGGACAAACACATTTATTCAGCAGGGCAGGAGGCGACAGGAGAGGAGGGCAACCCCCCCCTCGAACCTGACAGGGAGGGATGCTGGGAGCCATGCAGAAGGTTCTAGAAGGTTCTGGAAGGCCCACTGAAAAGGCACAAGATATCACAGTTTTCTGCATCGTTGTCTCCTCCTGCCCCTCAGCTTTGTGGTTTGCTTTATTTTAACGGTCTGCTTGACAAATGACCTGCTTTCTGCCTGACATGGGGTCAGAGGGCGTGCCATAGCTGCATCTATCATCATAACCACGTGTCACCCTGACGGACTGGACCATTAGTTGCTGTCAGTGACCAAGTCACAGCTGGGCTAAGGAGAGATGAGCTTGGGGTCAAAGGTCGGAGCCAGAGGACTTGGGAATTGGATGAATTAGGAATTTGCTGTAGTTAACAAAAAATTAAATCGCAATACTTATAAAATATTCATCCATCTGGGCCGAAGGAAAATGAAGCCCAATATTTAATTTCAGATTATAGCCCCTCACTTTGCATTTTTTATCATAGATTAGGTCGGCCCTGGAACTCTGACAGGGCACCTGGGGACTTCATCCATTTCCGCAGATTAAAAATCCTCTTGTAAAAAAATTAATTGCCATTAAACTGCTTGGCAGAAGAAAAAATGTGCCCATCAGGACCCATTTATCGACCTAGACCCTTCTGGTGGGCTAATGGGGAGTGAGCAGCCAGGGATGGAGGGACCTGGGAGGGGCCTGGTCATCGGGCAGCCCCCTTGCCCGGGGCAGGGGTCCCTGCGTGGTGTCCCCACGGATGGAGCCGTGGTGGTGATTTTGCATGGCTCAGTAGTGCCGGGGGCCAGGGCGCAGGAGCCTTGCTGGGGAGCCCCACCCCACTGGTCGCTTCCAAAACCCCGGCTCGCCCTCCCTGGCCAGACCCTGCGGTGAGAGTGACCACTTTCCTGCTTGTGGTCCTGCAGACGGGGAAACCAAGTGAAGTCACTCACCCCAAGGCCCATAGCCTGTCCCGGGCAGAGCTGGAGTCGGACCTTGCTCTCACCTGCGGGTGTCCCAGGGGTCTGTGTGGGAGCATGTGGCCTCAGGGGCCCTCCCTGGAGGGGTGTGGCCTTGGGGACAGGTCCTGGAGGGACGTGGCTTTACAAAGGGCAAGACTGCAAGGTGGTGTAGCCTAGGGTCTTGCCGTGGAGGCCTGGACTTCGGGGCATGGCCGAGGTCCTTTCTCCAGGTGTGGCCTATGAAGGGCATGGCTTGATGTGGCCCCTGCCCCTTTTTGGGACCTGCTGCTCCAGGCCTGTGATTATCTCTGGGTCTAGGTGATGGGGGAGGGATCCTGTTGGTTGCCTGCCCCGGGGGGTCAGTCTCTGCATGGCCTGGGCTATAAGGCACCCTTCCTTGGCAAATATGCCCTGCTTCGTGGGAGGCAGGACAGGTCTTGGCCTGGGAAGTCCAGCTTCCTGCCCAGGGCTGGCTCAGGGGGAGATGCAGTGTGCGTGTGTGTGTGCATGTATGTGAGCATGTGTCTGTGCGTGCGAACACATGTGTCTCCATCTGTGTGTCTGCGAGTCGGTATGTATATGTGTGCATGGATGCATGTGTCTGCATGTGCATGTCTGTGTTTGTGTGTGTGTGTGTGTGTGCGTGTCTGTGTGACTGTGTGCACGTGTGTATGTCTGGGTGTATGCGTGTGTGTCTGTGTCTGTGTGTATGTGTGCCTATGTGTGTGAGTGTGTGCTTTCTGTGCACACACATGTGCGTGTCTGTGTGCATGTGCATGTCTCTGTGGGAGTGTGAACACACATGTGCATGTCTGCATGTGTGTGTGCATGTCTGTGCACACGCACATGTGCATGTCTCTGCGTGTGTGTCTCCGTGAGTGTGAACACATGCGTGCATGTCTGTGTGTGAGTGTAAACACGTGTGTGCACATCTGTGCATGTGTGCCTGTCTGTGTGTGTGTGCATGTCTCTGTGTGAGTGTGAACACGTGTGTGCACATCGGGGGGGTAGCTAAGGCTTGGCCGCTGCTCTGGCCTCTGCCAGCAGCCTGGTCCGTAGTGGTGGGGGGGCTGATGCTGGCAGTGCTGTGTAATGTGGGATTATGAAGTAGGGCTTTCATAAATGATGCTTCTTATGTGACAGCATTTGCTGCGGAAAGCTCATTCATGCTTCAGAGGCGGTGGGCGTCTGTGTCCCTGCTCCCTGGGACCCCTCATCCCATGGCCGGGACACGCTTGTAGGTGGAGCCTCACAGCAAAGACCGTGTGTGGTCCGATCAGGGCCGAGGTCAGCCGTAGAACAGACTTGCACTCGCGCCGCCTCCCGACTCTGGCCCTTGCTGGGATGGGCCGGTGTTGACCCAGGATGTGCAGGGCACCTGGGCCCATGGCCTTGGTTTTACTTGGCTTTACAGGCAAAGCCGTGGGGAGTGGGTTTTATTATCCCACTGACCGAGTGTCAAAGAAGTCAGGTCACCATCCAGAGTCACCCTGGGACTCGGCCGGGCCTCTTGCTGGCTAGTGGCTGAGGCTCACCCCAGCTCCTCTGAAAGCGTGTGACCTGTCTCCAGGGGCTGCCTGGGGCCGAAGACCTCCTCGTGTGGGCCGCCTTCGAAAGGGCCCAGCCACTCCGCTGTGTGTACGTTTTCTCTGTTTAAGATGCTGAGTTGGTTGGTGTGCACGCCTGGAGGAAAGGACCAGCCCTGGCAAGGGCCCTCCTCGGGCCCGCTCCTGCCCTCCCCAGGCTCCAGAACAAGGCTCCCTCCAGAGACCAGTCCCCCACCGTGGACTTAGGTAGCTGGTACCTCTCCGCCTGGGCCCCTCCCTGCTCTGCTGGGACGTCTGGGGAGGGTGGGCTCGGAACAGGGAGGAGGTGGCCTTGGGTGCTGCAGCAGCCTTTCCCCAGCGGCCTGTCGAGCGCCTGCCAACCCACCATCAGGACTTGGAAAAATCCTTATGTTTAAAAGCCAAGGAAAGGCTCCCAGGAGGCAGGCCCCAGCCGTCTAGAGTTTCCTGCCACAGGGAGTGCAGGATGAGAGCGTCAGTGGTTCCTCTAGCAAACACATCAACCCCCACTCATGCTGTTTTCGCCAAGTCTAGAGTGGGTGTCTCTGTGCCTGGTGCTGGGCAGAGCCTCAAGTCACACACACGTAGCACCTGAGCCCACGATGTGTGTGAGGGCCTAGGGGCGAGCTCCCTGGGAGCAGGGCGGAGAGTGCCTGGGTGGGGAGCTCGCTCTGCTCCTTCTGGGGCCCCACAGCTCCGGGCACCTGTGACCACCTCTCTTTGCAGGAGATAGCAGGAAAGTCGGAGCGGCCGAGAGCTCCCCTGTCTGCCCCCGGATGCCCAGCCCAGCCTCTGTCCGCCATGACCCGCCACTGTCTGCCAACACACCCCACCTGGCTTCCTGCGATCAGCCTGTGACCATCCAAAATGCTTTGACTATCCTTAGAGACCTCCGCCAGCAGATCCAGGCTGGGCTGGAGCTGGCCCGGCATCGCCACCCCAGCAGAGGGCTAGAGCTAGGACGGTCAAACCTGTGGCTGCAGGACCCGGCAGGGAGGAGGCAGTGGGGCCCCTGGAGCACCCCAGATGTGCGGGGCTCCTTCTCGAAGAGTCCTCAAGCAGGGAAGAAAGGGAGGCACTCCTCCCCAGACCGTGCCGGCAGCTTCCCCACTGGACATCACTGGAGCACCCTGGCTGGACGGGAGTCCTATCCCCAGCCAACTGGAGCGGCCCAAGGGTGGAACCCCTCTTTCCAGGGGCCCGGGAGCCCCCCTGAGAGGCTGACCTCCTTGCCTCACCGGCCCTGGAGTGCCTTGGCCCAGCAGGCCTCCAGGACCCAGCGGACTGGAACACACCAAGGATGGAACCCCTCCTTCCAGAGGCCCGGGGGCCCCCCTGAGAGCCTGACCTCCTTGCCCCAACAGCCTGGAAGCGCCTCAGCCGGGCAGGCCTCCAGGTCCCAGCGGACCTGGGCCACTTATGCAGACTGGGAGACCCCTGTCCGAACACCGTGGAGCCCTTGTGGCCCACGGTCCTGGAGCGCCTCCTTCCCGCAAGGCGCCAGCACCCTGTGCAAGGCCAGAGGCTCGCACCTGCCACCCTCGGAGACGGAGCACAGCTGGCTGAGGCCTGCCAGGGGTGCACCTGAGAGGGAGAAGGAGGGGCGGGTGCCGCCGCCCTGCCCGAAGCCCCGGGGGGCCCTGGGCCACCCCTATAGTGCTGAGACGCTGCGGGAGTTCATGCGCCAGAAGACTCAGGCCCGGCGGCGGCAGGCCTTGGAGGAGAAGGCCTCGGCCGTGCGCGCCCTGGAGCTGAGGAACCAGCGGCTACAGGACGTGTACAGGAAGCAGCGGGAGGCCGTCCTCGGCAAGGCCGTCCCTATGGTCTCCCAGACAACCCCCGGCATCGTGACCTTCTTCCCGCACTGTGCACAGTCCAGGGTAGGTGCTGGGGGTGGTGAGGGTGCGGGGCTGGCCAGCTCGGCCTCCGAGCTCCCAGCAGATCCAGAGGCTGCCTCCCCAGGCCATGTAGGGGAGGGACCCACTGCTTCTGCCTCTGCCCTGGAGGGGGAGCCCCATGGGGTCCAGCCTGAGCCCCTCCAGAGGTCAGGGCTCGTTGTGGGGCTGAGACACAGGGCCTCGGGGTCTTCTGGCCTGGCCGGGGCTCTGACTATGCTCCCTTCTGCTCTAGGGCCTGGAAGCTCCCGGGAGCCTGGGGTCGCCTGTGCTGGAATGGAGCAAGGTGACCTCTGGCATGGTGCTGGGGGACCAGGAGGCCCCGGGCAGGTGGGTAGATGAGCTGCCGTGGCTGGGTGGGGCACCCTCTGCGCAGAGCCGGTGATCATGGGGGACCCCAGACCTCACGGCCCATTCACGGAGCACGAGGCAGGGGCATCGAGCCATCCCCCCGCCGCCGCCGTGTCGGGGGACCACGCCCTCTCCCTGCTCACAGAACGTTTCAGCACCCACCCAACCCACAGCACCTGGTTGTTGGGGTCTGGCTTCTTCCTTGGAACATGTCTTCTGGGTTCACCTGCTGTAGCGTGCCGTGGGCCTTCGTTCCTTCTCTACGGCCAAATAAGATTACCCGGCGCGACCTGCCGCACACGGCGTGGCCGTCGGCCGGCTGGGGGGCGGTTGGGCTGCCTCCCCCTTTGGTGGCAGCGGATGAGTTGTTGGGCTGCCCGTTTTGTGTCACGCTGCGGACCTGGGAATGACATCGCGGGCGCCTCTCTGGGGGAAGTGTGTGTTCCACTCCTGGGGAGCCGGCCGGGGGCTTTCCTCACTGGCTGTGCCATTCTGCACCCGCCTCCCCAGCATGGGGGGGTCCCGCTTCTTCTGTGTTCCGCCAGCCTCCTTTTCTGTTTTTTCCCTTCCGTTTTTGCTTTGTTTTCACTATGCGTACTTTTTTTTTTAAGACTGTATTTATTTGAGAGAGAGAGAGCAAGAGCAGGGGAGAGGGGCGGGGGTGGGGGAGCAGGCTCCCCGCTGAGCAGGGAGACCGACACAAGACTCGATCCCAGGACCCCGGGATCATGATCTGAGCCGAAGGCAGACGCCCAAACGAAGGAGCCCCAGGCGCCCCGACTATTGTGTTTACTAACGGAGCCTGGGCAGCTGCTCCGAAGGCCCTTCCCTGGGCAGCCTCTGGAGGGGTCAGGAGCCCGTCCCCCATGTTGCTCAGGCCACCCCTGCAGGGCCCAGGTCCACAGAGCAGCCCAGGAGGCTGCGTGGTTTTTACCGGTTTAAACTTGATGTCTGGTCAGTGCAGCTCAGTGAGCGCTTACAGGCTCCTGCCCCTGGCCAGAGCGACCCGCACCCACAGGCAGCCCCTTCCTCTGTAGACAGGCCAGCAGGGGGGGCTCCTGGCCGCTCTGACCTGATGCCCCCCGGGGTCCTCCCCGACAGGCAAGGCTGTGGATCCTTCGTCTTCCTCCTTGTGTTCTTTTTTCCCTCCACATTTTAGAAAAATTGTAGGGAAATACACGTAACGTGGATTTACTGTCTTCACCGCTTTTACGTGCATAGTCTGGGGGCGTTGGCGCACTCACACTGCTGGGCACTGTCCCCACCGTCCGTCCCCAGGACGTGGTCGTCTGCCAACACAGGACTCTGTCCCGTGAAAACCTGTTCCCAGCCCCCGGCGCCCCACGCCCCCTCCCTGCATCTGTGGTCTTGACTCCTCTGGGCTCTCCTGGGAGCGGATCCTTTGGGGTCGGTCCCTCTGTGCACCGTAGACCTCGCTGGGGACCACGTCCTCCTCGTTCATCCGCGGTGTGGCTGGTGTCGGGATTCCTTCCTTTTTATGGAAAAGTGATGTTTTTGTTATTGTTGAGTTGTAGGTGTTCCTCATACATCTGGGCATTGACCTTATGAGATATGGGGCTTGTGATAACGCCCCCCTCCCAGGCGCTGCGGTCTTGGCTGCCGATTGTCCACGCGCACACGCTGTGCATCCGAGACACTTTGCTTAATCTATTTCTTGTCGCCCAGGCTTTCAGTGTGAAACCCCAGAACTTGATCTTTCTCAGGCCCTGTGCGGCCGGCTCTTGTCTAGAGACCCCGTAGCCACACCTCCAGCCGCAGACAGTCGCTGTCATCAGACGCGCTCCTTCCCAGAAGCTGTGCCAGGCTCACCCCTGCAGGCCTGTGCTTCCAACGCGCCGCAGCCTGACCCCCTGCACCCTCTCTCCCTGCAGCTTCTGCCTGTGTTTGAACAGAGCCTTGAACCGCTCTGAGACTCTAGAGATGGGCGGCCCCCGGGACGGCTGGGAAGGTGCCCCCATGCTGATATCCTCCCGCTCCTCCCCGGGCCCCCTGAAGCTCCAGGACCTGACCACCCGCCCCCCGCGCCCAGGCGTGTGCATCTACCTGGACCCTGAGGAGAGCGAGCGCCTGGGCACCCCGGGGCCCCTGCACTTCCGCTATAAGCAGGCCCGGCTGCAGGCACTGGAGACCATGGCCAATGTCCTAAAGCAGCGAATCGACATCCTCACAGCCAAGCTGCACAGGCCGGAGACACCAGGTGCTCTCGGGGACCCGGTGTCAGACCCCGGCACTGTGCCTGCCGCCCCCGTCTGCTCGGGGGCCCTGGTGCCCGACGAGAGTGAAGGGGGCCCCTGGGACTGGGCTGACGAGCCGGCCGGGACGCTGGTCTCTCCCACCTGCTTCCTGGACCACAGGCCGCTGCCGTGGAGCCCCGACTGGGAGAGGCGGCAGAGCGTGAGCCCGAGAGGCCACCACTACAGGGAGTCCCAAGGTAGAGCTGCTGCCCGGGCCACGAGCGGCCCCCAGCCCCACCAAAGGCCAAGGGGACCCCACTTTCTCCCTGCCCCTCAGCTTCCTCTCCCTAAAAGGGGGATAATGATGACGATACCATAGCAGATGTCCGGGCCACCTGGGGGGCCGCTGGGGACAGTCCTGGCAGAGCCCGGACATGCGCTGAGCTTTCCATCAGCTACAGACTATGTCAACACCTTGGCCCTGGCGGGAGGAGGGGTGAGACCAGGCCCCGAGGCTTATGTGCCTGCCACCTCCCTGCCCTGCCTCCGAAGAGGGGCGAGAAAGTGGACACAGCCCTCCAGGCTCCTCCTGTGCTGGGGGTGGGGGTGCCCCTCCCTCCATCCCCACCGCCCCCCCAGCGGTTCCTTCCTGTCTGCCAGTTGATGGTGTCCATCTCCCCAAAGGTTTCATTGAGGACGGGCGTTTGGAGCTGGATAAAAGGCTGGCAAGAAATACGGCTTCCTTCCAGACACTTGGTCCCTTCATCGGGAGGTGAGCCTACGTGTCCCCCACACGCCCCCACACCACGAGCCGCTGGCAGGGCACAGCGGGTGCACGGGGGTGCACAGGGGTCTGGGTGCAGCCGGCCTGCTGGGGGAGGGACCCAGCTCCTGACCCGACCATGAGAAGCCCCCACACCAAAGGTCCGGCCCCGCTGGCTCTGTCTGGCGCTGCCACACGGTGGCTCAGGGACTCCACTCTGGCTGGGTTGTGGGCAGTGGGCTCCCGACCCCAGCCAGACACTGCTGGCCGCACCTTCCTGGGCCCCGTGTCCCATGTCTTAAGTGCTCAGGACCACCCACCCAGGAGCCCTGCACCTTCCTGTGGCTTTCCTCCCCAGCACAGCCTGAGGCCTTTGGGGATCCCTTGGTGGAACAGAACACTTTCCGCCAGCAGGGGGCAGCATTGGGCTGGGCGTCAGGCTCTCCGCCACCAGCACCCCAGCCCCAGTGGAGAGGTCAGGGAGGGGAGAATCCCCAGAGGCTGCCCTGGGGCCTGAGCTCCGGGCCGACCCCCCACATCTGCATGTCCCTCTGCTGCATGGCGGGCAGAGGGCCCAGCAGCTCACACCGCCACGGGTTCCCACCTAGGGTCCCGCACACCCAGGCGCTGCATCCTCCCCATCCCCCACCCCGTCCCCCCGGCCCCGACCAGGCTGTGCAGGGTCGTGCCCTGGATGGTCGAGCAGCCTTCCTGGGCAGGGGTCAGGGCACAGGGACTTGAGGGGCCCTCAGCGTGTCCAGAAAAGCTGCCTGTCCTGTCCCTTGCCCTTTGCTGCTCACAGCTCTGTGGCCTCTGGTCGCCTCCCTCACTGCCTGGGTCTGAGGATGAAGGTCAAAGTCTCCTTGTTCAGCTTGTGGCCCTCCCTCTGCTGCCCCAGGCTGGTGCCCCCAACTTCTCCAGACCCAGGGCCTGGTCCATCCTGCTGCCTCTCAGGCCAGCTTCTGAGTTGGGGTAGGGCCATGCCCCACACTGTCCCTTCCCTGCTGGGACCATGGGGCTGTCTGGCTGGGCACCCAGCCTGTCCGCAGCACAGCACGGTGAGGATGCCGGCCCCCGCTCTCCAAGGGCCCATCCACCCCAGCGTCTCTGGAAGGAAGTGTGGGGGAGGGCACACCCCAGCTGTGTGAGGCCCCCCACAGGCCTTCCTGCACCTTGGGACTGTGCTGTCAGACCCCTGTGAGATGTGTTCTCATTCCCATTTTATAGACAGCAACACTGAGGCCCAGAGAGACCCAGTGACATGGCCGGGATCCCACAGCTCATGGGAGGCTGGACCCCAGCGCCCACGGTTCTCCCACTGCGCCCATTCCCGAGTCTGGACTCAGACTGGGCCCTGAGAGCTCGTCAGACATGCAGAGTCCCTGGCCCACCCTGCCCCCACCCCCTGGCCCTCCTGAACCTGGTGCACGAGTCCTGCAAAGGATCGTCTGAGAACCCCAGTCCTGAAAAGTCTAGGCCCGAGGTCAATGAGGCCCGCGGGCCCCTGGCTGTCTGTGGGTAAAGCCCTATGGGCAGCCAGCCATGGTCAGCGCCAGGCTCATCAACACGCATCGGGGCTGGGTCATGTCCCCAGAGGCAGGGACTATGTGGCCAGCAAAGCCCACGTGTTTGCTGTGTTTCCCTTTATGGGGCATGTTTGCTGACCCTAGCTGATCAGCCGATGGCCTCATGGGCATCCCCTTCAAGGAGAGCCGTTGGGTAGCCCTGCAGGGACGTGTCCCCTCTTGTCCCCTCCTGTCCCCTCCTATGCCCTCCTGTCCCCTCATGGTCACACGCTCCTGCAGCAGCCCCATCCTGGGGTCTTCCTGGATTCAGCCCCCTGCTCTTCCCATCGCCTCCCCTGGGCTGCTCCCTCTTGCCAGGACCCTCTTCCCAGCCGTCTCCCCTGCAAGGCCATGGGCTGCAGGGGCGGGGGCCATGGGAGGAGGGCCATGCCCGCCACCCCCACCGGTCTCCAGCGGTCTCGAGTCGCTGTGTGCCTGGGGGAGAAACATGACATGAGGCAGGGCTGTGTGCACTGCAGATGCCGGCACCCTGTTCCCACAGTCATTTCGGGACACGGCGGTTCTCCTGGCCTACCGCTGTCTCAGGAAAAGCCCCTCTCACACCTCCCTCCTAATCCTGTTAGTGACATGTGCTGGCCAGCCTCAGGGTAGGGGGTTAGGGTGGCCTGCGCAGGGGCCGGTCTCCGAGTCCAGCTGGCCCGGTGTGACCCCTGTGTCCTCGGACACCTGGCTGGCTCAGGCTCCCTCTGTGGGATGCGGCAGCATTTCGGGCCATGAGCAGGGAGTGATGAGGGTTAGGGCTGGTGTGTCTGCCCTGCTCTTCTCTGGGCCTGGAGGACAATGCCCCTGCAGATGGTAGAAGGGATGACAGAGACAAAGAACGTGCCCTGTGCCCCTCATCCCCCAAGTGGCTGTCTCCCCACAAAGGGCGTGGCATGGAAGCAGACCCAGAGCAGGCCCGGGCTTCCAGGCAGAGGGCACTCCGGTCCAGCACAGTGCCTAGCAGTGACAGTGGAAGCCGGGCTTCCCAGGGTCCCAGTGCCCCCTGCTGTGCCCCCTGCTGCTGCTCACAGATGACGCCCCCCCCCAGCTGGGGGACACTGCTGGCATCAGCATTTAAGGGTGTCACCTGCTCACTGATGCCCTCCCAGTCCTCTGGTCACAGGCCCATTCCCCTTAGGCTTCAGCTCTGGACACCGTGGGTCTGAGAGCTGCTTTGTTTAGGCCGAGGGAACCCGGGTCACTGCCCCCCAGCCCCCCAGCTGCCTCGTACCGTGTGGGTGTTCCCTCCCGACTCTGCTCACGTGCATGTCTGTGTGCTCCCAGCTCCCTTGGGGTGCCAGCAGTGCTGGACCCCACCTGCGGCTCCCTGCGGCTGGAGGACGTGCCGGCGGCCAGAGGGGCAGGCTTGCTCACGCCCTGGACCGTGCGAGGCTGCGGTAAGGGCGAGCCCGCGGACAGGCCCTGGGCTGGCTGGTCGGGTGGCCGGGGAGGTCCGCTGGGGACCCCCTCCACTGCCTGATGCTCTGGTGCGTTCCTATGGGTTAGAGAGATCCTTTTCTACGTGGAGAGCGTCCACGCATCAGTATTAAAGTTTTCTGGAGGCTTTCGGGACCCAGCTGCGTGCCGTGTGCTCTTGCCACGCTTCTGTCGTGACCAACACCTGCTTCGTCGAGGGTCCACTAAGGGCCCCGCTCCCGGGCCGCCGCCTCTGAGCATCCGCGGGCCCAGGTTTCTCTGCCTTTCCTTTTGCTTCTGAAGGGTGTTGTCCTGGGTTTCAGATGAGGAGACTGGCTGGGGACCATGGGGCTGGTGCAGAGCCGGGGTGCAGGGTGCGTGGGGCGGTGCCCTGCCTGGAGCGCTGAGTGGCCTGGGTGGGCTGGGGGGTGCTCCTGGCACAGCAGCTGGGGATGCATGTAGAAAGCAGCCTGTTGGGGGAGGAGGGGTCCGTGCCATTCCCATCTCGTGGTCAGTCTCTCCCACCACCCCTGCCCGGGAGACTCCCAGCCCATGGAGTTGGCGCTGGGGAACCTCACGCCCGGCCCTTCATCTCCCCATCTCCTGAGGCCCCAGTAGCCTTCGCAGCCCACTAATTCACTTGTTTGTTCCTCCCTCTGCTCTTCCAACTTGTGCCACTGAGCACCTGCTGTGCCCGACACCAGCCTGAGATCTGGCCCTGCCCTGGAGGCACCTGCTTTTAGTGGGGACGTGCGTCAGGAGACGCTCAAGTGAGGGCACACAGCATGGCAGGTTCTGAGCAATAAGTGACAAGGATGAGTGACCGGCTTCCCCGCAGAGATTTCCATCCTGTTTCCAGTCCTAGAAAGTGTGGCCCAGAGAGGGGCAGTGAGGGGTCCAGGGACACCCAGGGAGGAGCCGGCATTAGGGTTTGGACGCAGGTGTCAGCACACCGCCCACCCTTGCTGCCCGTCTGGAAGGTTGGCTAAGCGGGAGGGTGGCTGGCTGTTGTGAGGGTCAAGGGTGATTCCTAGTGACCTGGGGCTGACTGCCTCCTGGCCAAGATCCTGCAAGGGGGTCAGGCTCTGGCGTTCCCTCCGGGGGGCAGCCCACTCCTTCACCCCCAGCCCCGTCCACCATGCCCGCAGGGCCAAGCAGCAGGAGTGGCTTCTTCCTCTTGGGAGGGGCATCCACGGTGGGGGCCGCGGTCCCCAGAGACCCCCTGAGAGCCCCCGGCAGGAACGAGCTCTACAGTCCCTGCACCGAGGTTGGGGTGAGGACCCAGGAGGCTCTGGCTTCGGTGGCTTCAGGGGACAGTGGGGACGGCCCCCGGGCCTGACCGCACCTCCACACCTGGGCCCTGGCTGCCAGGAACCTGGCGCAGCTGTGTGTTCCTGAAAGCTGGGGGGGCACAGGTGGCCCTTTCTCTCGACTGTCAAATGGGGTGACGAGTAGCTCAGAGTCGAGGCAGAAAGCCCGTGACCCTGAGGACGGCCGCTGCGGGGCTCTGAACTTCCACTGCCACCGGTTGGCAGCGCCCCGTCCCCCCGGCCCTTCTGAGGGTACCCCCCGACTCGCGCTCCCTGTGCGGTGTCTGCCTGAGTGGGGGGTCAGCATCGGCGGGGGGCAGGCAGCCCTGCCTGGAGCCATGGGGAGGGGCGTGAGAGCAGAGAAGGGGACCCTCTTCGCATCCCAGTGGGAAAACCATCCGGCACCGGCTGCAAGGACTCCCACCACCAAGGTGTGAGCTTCCCCACGGACTCTTTCGGGGGCAGCGGTCAGGGGCTCGCCTGGACTCCCGGGCAAGGACAGGCCTTCCTTCAGAGCAGCCCCTCTCCGCAGGCGCCCCTCCACTAGGCGAGGGGCCAGGCTGAGTTAGAGGGCCCGGGGCCACCTGCCATGGGGCCTCGGGGTCCCCAGGTCTCCCACCCACACCTGCCGTGCCTTCCAGAGAAAGGAGACAGGCAGAGCTGTCCCTGCTCCGGGACACGTCTGTGAACAGCCCTCCTGGAGCCTCTGAGTCTGGTCTGGGAGGAGCTGTCAGCCAGGGGCCCTGGCAGCTTCCACCAGCGGAACCCAGGCTGTCCAGAAAAGCCTGCTCCTCTCCCTGGTCCCACCTCCAGGCTGCCTCTCCAGGAGGCAGGGAGCAGGAGGGAAGACAGGTGGAGGCTCACCCCAACTTCTCGCTCCCTCCCATGTCGCTCCTTACACTGACCGTGGTGCAGGCCTGTTTCTCTGTGCACAGACTGAAATTCTCCCGCAGGATCTCTTTACCCTGAGGCTACAGGCTGCCCCCAAGACTCATTTGAAATCTGAGCTGCCTGCATCTGGAGCGGCTGAGAGCCGGATCTCAGGTAGCCGGAGACCAAGCAGTGAGCACACGAGCACACCAGAGCGCATGTGCCGGGCTTGCGGGGCACCTCCTCCAGGAAGCCTCCCAGACAACACTTGGGCTGCGCCAGGTCCTACTGCGCCCCCAGTCGTAGCTTGTGGGCCGTTACACTTGATGGCCTGAGACCACGTTATCTGGTGGAAACCTCTGGAAGGAGGAGAGTGTTCTCGGTTCTGAGAGATCCAGTATGGTAGCCATCGGCCACATTGGCTGTCTAGCCGGGATACGGGGCCAGTGTGGCCGAAGCATGGCATGTTGGGTTTTAGTTCCTTTCCACTTAAGTGTAAATGGCACATGTGGTGGCCGGTGGCCTGGGCCGGAGACTGGGAGACGTCAGCTCCCGGGCCAGTGGTGCTCCCTCCCAGGGCATGGTGTCCTGTCAGCTCCCTTCCGGCTTCGGGCCTGATTCCCCGAGCCGAGCCTCACAACTGGGGACACGCTTGTCGTGACACACCTGCTGTGGGGACAACCCGCTTTCTCCCGGGTCACGGCTCAGAGCTCAGGGCCACGGAGCCCGTGTCTGCCTGGTGACCAGGGGGTGCTGACGCAATGTGGCCCTCCCTGGAACTGCGAGCCTGCTGGGTGCCTGCAGGATGGTCGGGCCTGGGGGTCCCGAGCACCTTCTCTGCCTCCAGCTTCTCCCAGTGGCCACAAAACAAAAGCAAGAGAGGATATTTCCTTCTTGAGGGAACTTGAGCTCAGAAGAGACCTCAAGCCGTTCTCCCCAGCAGGTCTCCATTCCCCGTGGAGGCCAGCAGGGAGGGAAGGGGGACCCCACGCTCAGCACACATTAGATGGCCTGAGCCCCTGCTTCTCCCCTGCTTCGTGCTTCCGAGTTTTCTCGATGCTGTGCAAATGCCCTGGGGCTGGTTTCGCTGCAGTCCACAGCCACTGCATCCATGGAAAGCTGGGCCACTCTGCTCTCTCTGGAGCAGGAGAACAGTCTGGGGGACGACTTTCTCTCTGTACCCTGGCCAGTGATGGCAATGGTCATCCAAGAGGCACCGGGAGAGCCTAAGCCCTGGGAGGGACCCCACACGCCCTCCTCTGCCCGCTCCCACCAGGCACAGGCCCAGAAGACAGAAGGTGGGCCGAGGAGGGAGCAGTGGCCACCCCTCTGACCATGGAGTCGCCCTAGAGTCGGCCACCCAGGAGCCAGGAACACCAACGTGTGCAGAGCCAGAGCCGGAGCCCCCCACTGCCCTCAGGGACCGCCTGCCCTGGGCGGGGAGGTGGAGGTTCCCGTGCTCATTCTCCAGAGCAAGCCCAGACATCTCGGGGACGCCTGGGGACCGACCAGCTGAGACCCCGATTACAGCAGCAGCGGCTGCCCTCCACCCCACACATGCTCGGTCATCTCGCTGCTGGGGAGGCCAGCGTGTTCCCGCCGAGGCGCTGAAGTGCTGGCAATGTGTCCCAGGTTCCCCAGGGCAGGCGGGATGAGCCAAGGTCTGTGTGCGTGGCTCCCGCTCTCTGCAGACTCGGGCATGCGTCCCGGGAGAGTGTGGCTGAGGTTCAGGCAGCAGGAGCCCCAAGCAGAGGCGGAGTCGTCTCAGCAGCCAGCCGCCTCCCCCTGCCCCAGGCTGCAGGGGCAGTCCCCGGGGCCGTGCTGGGAGTCGGGCGCCTGCCCTCCTGCGGGCCGAGGGCTGAGGCCGCTCAGCTGCCCCTTCTCTGTGGCTCCCGCAGGTCGGCGCTCCGGGCACCTTGCCAACATTCCCTGGAAGTCCCCGAGCTCTCTCAAGTCCCTGCAGGTGTGTCCTGCCCCCACCCTGTCAGGCTGATGACAGCTGTGTCCCCGGTAGTCCCGCCTGGGTGGGGCTGGGAGTTACCCTCGCCCCCCTGAGGCTGAGCAGAGAGGCGGAGTGGGGGGCTTCTGGGGGCGTCCCTCAGGGAAGTGTGGCACAACCTGCCCTTTGGGTCTCAGGGCTTTGGGGCAGCCATGGGGGCAGCACTGTGGGGCCCCCCCCCAGGAATCGAGCCTCAGGCCTTCCCTGCAGCTGAACCAGGAGAAGCCGGAGCAGGGGCTGGCGCTTCTGCGGCAGCAGGCGGAGCTGGAGGTCTGGGAGACGCAGAAGGCCCTGGACCAGCTGCTCTTCAAGCACCAGCTGGAGGTCAGTTGGCCCGAGGGCTCGAGGGGTCTCCATGGGCATGCCCCACTCCCTGCCAGGGGGCAGTGCCACCCCGCTTGCCCCCGCCCCGAGCCCGGGGCCCCCCCAGATGGATTTGGCTCTGTGGCTGCGTGCGGGCCACCTGCCTTTGAGGAAGGGCAAGCAGGGGAGGGTGTAGCCACAGTGTCACCTGAACCGCAGGCCCACAATGCCTGGAAGAGGACAGCATGGCTGCCTGCCAGAGGCCAGCTCCGTGGGCCACACACAGACGCTCAGTTTAAAGCAGAAACAGGATGTTTCGGCCCACTACTAACCCAGGGGCTCCTGGCTGAGGGCACTGATGACTGCCTGAGCCACTGTCCCGGGCGTGTTGGCACCCACCCGAGTCTTGGGCCCTCTGCTGAGGGCCTCGTGAGCTGATGATGTGTGCAGGACACACAGCCCTGTCAGGTCTGCGGGAGGGCCAGGGGCCCCACATCTCCAAACCACCTCTGCCCAGCCCCCTGTGCTCGCTGGTCCAGGTGGTACAGATGCCCCCCCCCACCCCGCGCCATGGGAGTGACATCCGGGATCTCCTTGGATGTGACCAACCTTCTCTGTGGCTTTGGTTGGGGACTATTGGGATGTACTCACAGTACAGTTGGGGAGGCGTTCCCAAGAGGGTACCCGAGCCCGGGGGAATGTGTGCAAACACGTACACGCATGTGCCTATGTGTGCGGGTACCATACACACGCACCCCCGGGTGCCAGCTCTCTCCTTCCCCTGGCTGCAGCTGGGGCACAGGGCTGTGGCTCCCCGGCTATCTGAGCCCCAGCTCTGGCCTTACCCTGTGTCTGCTCGGCACCTGCTGCCTTCCCCCAGCCTGCCACGTCCAGCCCTGTCTGGAGGGAAGGGGGGTGCGTGTCAGCCCCACGTGGAGGCAGGAAGGAGCCTCTGAGGTCGGGGCCTCCACGACACACTCTGCCTTCCTACTCTTGCAGCATCTGATGGGGAAACACTCCGCCCAGGTCAGACCAGACTCGGCTTTGGCTTCTGCTTCGGAGCAGGCGCGGCCACGGCTGTGTCAAGTCCTGGAGCCCACAACCTCTCCGAGCACCGAGACCGCCAGCCCCAGGTGGGGCCCCGGATGGAGCTGGCCACAGCCTCCCGACGTAGCAGAGGTCGGGCCGGCTGGGTGGGACGGGCGCAGGCGGCTGGCGCCGTCTGCAGCGCTTTCCCCCCACAGATCACAACCAGCCAGGGGCAGAGACGCTGCCACACCCTCCCAGGGTCCGCAGGAAGGACAGCAGAGTCAGGAGGAAAAGTCTGCTTCTGCAGGTGAGAGTCCTCGAGACATGCACGCAGCAGGTGCCTGACCCCGAGCCCGGGGCAGGCAGAGGGGCCAGTTTCAGACATGCTTCCCCTCCGCCCGTCGGAGGGCTCTTCCGGGGCTTCCCCTTCCCTTTCCCGGGCGACACCTGCCTTAGACAGTTCAGGACCTCCACGAGTCTCCTTTACTGTTGGAAACACTCTGTCCCCTCCGAAGGTGTCTGCACACGCCCATTTCCCATGCTGGCTCTGGCTGGTGTAGACGGGATTCTGTCTGGCTTCACTCTGCCTGGACGTCCGTTCGCATGGACTGTGCCGGTGACACAGTCCCTTTGCTTTCGTAAAGCCTAAGGACAAACTCCTTTCATCTTTGCCGAACGTAGACGTCCGGGTGGATGTTTTTCCTCCCGGCTGACACGCTGCCCGGTCCTCCAGTTGCCCTGTCGGCAACGAGAAAGCTGGGGTCAGGCTCTTCTCCTACGCAGGAGGCGCCTTTCACCTCCGGCTGCCTCTCCCGCTTTCTCTTCATTACGGGCTATGACGGGTTCGGGTGAAGCTTCTCTGTCTCTTGTGCTTGGGGCGTGTTGTGAACTTGTACCTGCAGGCGTGCTGTACTCATTTTGTTTCGGAGTGTCCGGTCACACTCACTCCCGTGTCCTCACCTCGCCTCCACTCACCTAGGTGTTTCGCCACCTTCGGTTCTTTCTATGTGCTTGCTTTTTTCTTTTTTTTTCTTCTGTGCTTCCTTCCGGAGAGTTCCGACTGCTGTGCCTTCAAGTTCATCCCTCCTTTCCTCTGCGGCATCCAATCTGTCACTAATCTCACTCAGCGTCTTTTTCTTCTCATGCATTTGGGCTTTGTCTCTAAAAGTTCCATCTGGACACTTTTTTATATCATTCCTGATTCTACTTGACTCTTTAAACATAGGGAATGCAGTTATAAATGCTTCTAAAGTCCTTCTCTGGCTCATTCCACCATCTAGCTCGGTCTCAGCTGATGGAGCACTCTCGTTATGGGCCGTGCTTTCTTGCTTCTTCACGTGCCTGCTGGACACTTTGCATTTTACCCTGTTGGGAGCTACAGTGTGCGCTGCCACACACGGTTGTGAGCTTTGTTCAGGAATGCAGTCTCTTGGACGCTGTCGGATCCTTCCAGGTGTTGCCATGATAATTGCCAGGAGGCTGTGAGGCAGGGCTCAGTCTGCGACCAAGGCAGAACCTTCCGAGAACTCTGCCCTAAGACCCCTGGATCATGAGGTTCTCCAGTCTGGCCAGTGAAGACATGTGCGATCTAGGCCTTCTGCTCCTTCCCGAGCTTCTCTCCCCAGCATGGGTAACTTCCTCATATGGTTCCCACCGAAAGCTCGTGGGAAACACTCCAAATCTCCAGGTTCTCCCTGTGTGGCTCTCTCCTCTCTGGTCCTTCTTTCATGAGTTTTAGCTGCCTGGGTCTCTCCAGATTTCCAGCTCCATCTCCTCTCCTCGTGAGGTCTGCAAGGCTCTGCCTCAGTTTCCCCTCCATACACTGCAGCCTAGAAACATTCTCAAGGCAGTAAGCTGTGACAGTCAGGGGTCTCACCCGTTTTCTGTCTCTCAGGGATCACTCGTGCTTTATTGCCTGATGTCCAGTGTCTGGAAAATTGTTCTTTCGTATGTGTGTGTGAACATGTACGTATGTGTACGTGCATATACTTATGTCACTTTTTTATTTTATTGCATTTTAAAGTATATTTAGTGGGACAATAGATCACAATCCAATCCCTTTTGCGCTCTTGGTGGGAAACACAAGTCCTCAAACGAACATTTTAAAACTATAGAGTCCTTTCTGCATCCCAGCCAGCACCGAGGGACAGCGAGCAGTGCTCGGGGCCAAGAGCCGCTCAGGCTCAGATTTGGGCTCTGTCACCCCACCTGCTTGGTGCTGGATCTCAGATGGGTCACTCTGTCTTGGGGCCCAGTGTCTCCCTCTGTGGAAGTGAAGCTGCAGGACTAAGTCCTCCCTGAGGCTCCTCTACCTTGGGGCCGGTCTTTTGTACATCAGTGGGTTCACACACTGCCTCACATTGGGACAAAGAGATGGTTAAATTCTCCTGGTGTGAAGCTGTGTGTGTGTGGGGGGGTACTAAACTACCCCAGACATCCTACTTGAGAGGCCCTCCTGGAGAAAAGGGCCCTGGAACCCCTGCATGACCCAAACACCCTGTGTTTTCGGTCCTCAGAGCCCAGACAGGAAGTGAGAGCAGACCAAGCTCCCTCCCAGCGGCCCCTGGCCAGGCCCGACCCTCGGGTCAGCCCCACCCACAAGGTACAGGAAGCCGCGTGCTGGGGGGGCGGTTCAGGGGAGGTACTGGCAGCAGCTTTTTTTTTTTTTTTTTCTGAAAGAGAAAGTGGGAGAGAGCATGCGCAAGCGGGGGTGGGGTGGGGCAGGGGGGAGAGGAGCAGAGGGGGAGGGAGAAACAGGCTCCTTGCTGAGCAAGGAGCCCCATGTGGGGCTGGACCCCAGGATGCTGGGATCACGACCTGGGATCACGATCCCAGCCGAGGGCAGATGCTTCAGTAAGCCCCCCAGGGGCCCCTGGCAGCAGCTTGTAGACTCAGATCCTCCCGCTGACTGCCTGGAGCCATTAGGCGCTGAGGCCCACCTCACCTAGAGCCTGCACCCAGGGTGTCTCCTCTGCAGATTCTGGGCTGGGGGAGGCAGCCCCCGGCAACCAGCAGCACCCACCCTCCCAAATGACATCCACCCAGGCCCCGTCCTCGTGCCTGCGGCGGTAGGTGAGAGCAGGCATTTCGACAAAGTGCTTCAGGCAGGGCTGGTCCCCACTTTCAGGCAGCACATTTCAGGGCAGGTGGCCCAGTCTTTCCCTGACCCTCTTGGGCACAAAGAGTGCTCAGCCTGGATCAGGGCTGGGGATGAGCCCAAGACGATGAGGACCCCGCCCTGCCCTTGGGCGCTCACAGTCGGGAAGGGGTTACTCCGCTTCAGGAAAGGAGGCACGATAGGGCGCGGGAGGTTGGGGGTTGGTGGGAGTTGGGAGGAGTGAGGCGGCAGTCCGGGAGGGCTTCTTGGAGGCGGTGCCCTCCCCTGGGCGGGGCAACGCTCCCACCCGGCGAGGCTGGTCCCGGAGTGGCCTGCTCGGTCTGCCCCACCACAGTGGAGCCTGGCGGGGCCCTGGAAAGCCAACGTCGCGGGAGGCCCCGGCCACTTCACGCTCCAGATGCTCGAGCTGAGCCTGCGGGAGGAGGAGCTGAGAGCGCAGCACCAGACCGCGCTGCTGCGCCTGCGCGAGAAAGCGCTGGAGGAAAGGATGCGCGCTGAGCTGGCCTGGTTGGAGCAGCAGCGAGGGTGAGCGCATGCGCAGTCCCTCCCCCACCCGCTCGGGCCCGCCCCCCGACGCCGGGCCCCGCCCCCGAGTCGGGGGCGGACCGCGCGGCTGGGGTGCAGACTGCGCCAGTCCCAGTCGTGAGGGTGTTCGCGGGAGGTTAGTGAAGCCGGTGAGGCACCGGGAACAAACGCCCGAACCCGCGTGCGGTGCCGCCTTCCCCGGGAGCCGCGGCCGGTCCTGCCGTCTAGTCGAGCGGCGCTCGCGGCTGCTGACGGCGTTCGGACACGCGGCCCGTCCGGAGAAACTGCGCCCCCCCTACGTAGCCGCCCGCAGGGGCGCGCCCGGCTCCGCACACCCCTGCAGCCGGCGGCCGGCCCTCGAGCCGCCTCCCGCCGTGCGCCCTCACCGCACCCCGAGCTGGCAGGGAGACGCCCGCAGAGTAGATGCCTGCGGGTGGGCCGTGTCCATGAGGACGGACGCCCCGGTACCGTGTCCGTGAGGACGGATGCTCTGAATCCGCTGTCCGCTGGCCAGGCCATGTCCGTGACGACGGACGCCCCAATGCCGCCGTCCGTGAGGACGGACGCACCGATACCGACGCATGTTACCTCTCTGGCTTCCGAAAAGTACACCCCAGTGAAGGGCTTCCCAGGCTGTGGGTCCATGACGTGCCCCTCCCCAAAGGACCTTCTAAGCGGCTGGAGCTCCAGAGTGCAAGGCATTGCCCTCCCTGCATCCGTTAAGCCTGAAAGTGGTCATGAAGCATAGGTGGGAAGAGTGACAGCCTGGGCTGGGCCCCCAGGTGTCCTGGGTTCCCCCAGCCTGTCAGAGCCATGGGCAGGGGCCATCCCGGGTCCACCTGGCTGGCCAGGGCTGGCCGTGTCTGCAGTTTTCCACATCTGCTTGCTGGATGTGAGGTGGGGAGCTCAAGGTGGGCAGCAGGTCCTGGGTCCTCCCTCAGGTGTCTGGGCCGCGAGGGGAGCGCCGCGGTGCTGGCAGTCTTGGCAGAGAGGCAGAAGCAGGCCCTCAGCAGCCTTGAGCAGGAGCAGGTAAGGGCCAGCTCAGCCCCCAGGGGTGGGTGGGCAGCCGGCACCAACTCGGTCCTGCCACCCTCCGGGCTGGCTCGTGAGCACTCTGCACCACCCGGGATAGTTCCCCGCCATCAGTACCCTCCGGGGAGCTCTGGACCCTGTGGTGTGAGGGGAACATCCAGGCCCCAGAGGGGGCAGCGTGGCCTCCGTCCTGCCTCCTGTGGCCTCCTGCAGCCTCGCCAATGGGAGAATGACAGCTGTGTCTGCTGCGGGGGCTACAGGGGCCTTAGCACGGCCGGCACCACCCAGGGGGGATTGTGCACGACTGCAGAGGGGCTCACTAGCTGCTCCGAGCCCAGTGTCCCGGGGCCACTCTGTGGTGGGACCAGTGTTAGCCCCCCTTATGCAGATGGAGAAACTGAGGCTCAGTGTAGGGGGCTTGCCTTGCTCGGGGACCTGCAGAGGGGCAGTGAGGGGTGATGCTAGGTTGACAGAAACCCTCCCCCCAGATAGCCTGTAAGGGCCAGAATCCAGGCAGAGGGGCCAACGGGAGGAGACCTAGACAGATAAATGCAGGGCACAGACACCATGACCGTGAGCTGTGAAGGCAGCTTAGAAGGGGCTCGAGTTAGGACATGGCAATGCAGTAAACCAGGCAGTCTGAGCCCCTGACCACTGGGGCTTGAGCAAGGGGCCCAGCTCTTGGGAACCTTGAGAAGGAACATAGCTCTTCTAACCTATAAAAGCTGCCACCACCTGGGGAGGGTGCGCAGAGACCAAGCACGTGCTCTGGGCAAGGTGGCTCTGCCGAACGGTGTCCCTCCACCTGTGGACAGTGTAATGAAGGGACAAGTCCAGGGGGCAGGGGCAGCGCCCAGAACCTGGAGAGAGGGAGGGCTATGTGGAGGAGGGCAGAAGTGCAGCCAGCCTGTCCCGACCGATGTTGGGGGGCCCAGGGAACAACACCCTACCTTTCCTCCTGCCTCCTGCCAAGCCTCCTGTTTGCCAAACCCAAGGGTGGCCAACATGCTGAGCAGGATGAGGAACGCACCTGGAGGGGCTCAGGGAAGGCCCCTCTGGAGCCGGGATGCCCCCCAGACTCCCCCTTCCCCGCTCATCAGTCTAATCCTGTGGGTCTCTGCGCGGCTGGGGTTTTGCTGACTTCTCCTCTGGCTGGTTCAGAGAGAAATCCGGTGCCTGCAGAACGCTCACCGGTTCTCGCACAAGGAGAGGAAGCTGCTTCTGCAGCACCAGAAGGACATCCTGTCCCTGTGGACGGCTGTGGCACAGCTGCAGGGGGAGCTCGAGGCCCAGACCAGGCTGCCTCAGGTGGGCGCACTCCCCGGGCTGGAGGCTCATCACCTGCCACCCGGTTGCTCTGTGGGACAGTGCAGGAGCCCGGTCAATATGCCTCGACCCAGAGCGGGGAGGGCCTGGGAGAGGTCTAATGGGACAGCAGGAGGCAGTCACCTCCTGGGGGGACCAAGGAGGTTTCCTGGATACCACAGCCCTGGTCAGGCTCTCCAGGGGGAGCCAGACTCCCCCACCCCCTGCCACCATAGTAGGGGAAGGTACTCCAGGCTCAGGGGTGGGGGTGAGAAGCCCAGTGGGAAGGAGGGGGTTAGACTAGAGCTGGGGATAGGACTGGGGCTGGTGGCGGCTGAGGCAAGAAGGAAGGGTGGCCTGGGCTCCTACGGGGACAGCCCCTTGGGGAATGCCAAGCAGCAAAGGTGTCCTTGCTCCAACTCCCCGTCCCCACCAGCTGTCACATGGAGGGGGTCGTGTGGACACTAAGCGGGGTGGCCGTCCCCAGCCTCAATGTATCCTCCGTTGAGATGGGGGATGCTGACGGCCTCACCTGGCAGGGTTCTGCGGGATGAGCAGCGGGTGGTGTGTGCCCTGCCCTAGGCCGGCCTGCAGGACAGGTGATCCGGGACTGCGCGTTGCCAGAGCGTGGCCTTGAGTGTGGGTACGGTGACCCGGGGCAGCCTCGGAATCCCAAGATTCCCAGGAATCCCAGCCCTGGGCTTTACGTGTGCACTTGCCTGGGGGCAGTTGGCTCCGACATGGGCTGCTGGGAGGTTAGAGCCGCCTGTCTCCGCTGGCGAGAGCACCAGCTTCAGCACCGCAGCGCGGGCAGCCAGCGGCCCTGCACACGCAGCCTGCCCCCTGCATTGCCTGAGAGCAGGTGACACAAGTGTGTTTCACACCACTCTCCGGTGCTGTTTCTCAGAGGTCTGGCCCCGAAGTCAAGACCGCTCAGATGGAGGGGCCGGCACAGAGCTCCCTGTGCCCGTCAACACCACGTGGGCCTGGCGACCCCACCAGCCCCAGCCCCTGGAGAAGCTCCGAGAGCCCACGCGCCCAACCGTGAGTTGTCAGCGGCACTCCTGGTCTCCGCGCTCACCATTAAAGGCTTTCCTGTGCCGAGTGGCCCCGGTGCTCATGGCTGCTGGGCCCTGCACGTCTCAGCCTTGCTGGTTGGGGAGGGGGTGGCCCTGGGGACCCCGAGGGGACCCTGCTCCAGCTGGCTGGCCCATGGGGATGTGGGCAGAGGCCAGCGCGGCCCTGGGGTCCAGTGGGAGGAACACAGCAGAGGAGCACAGCGCTGGCTCACTCCTAGCTGGGCTGCTGGCTAGAGTGTGGCCCTGGGGTGCCCTCCCTTCTCTGAGCCTGTCTCCTCATCTGTGAAAGGGGACAGGGCTGCCACTATCCCTTGGCTACGTGGGGTGCAGGGAGACAAAACAACTAGACAGGCTTTGCTGGGGGCAGCAGGTGGCCCCTGTGTGCCCCTCTAGCAGCCAGGAGCCTCCTCCAAGGCTGGCTCAGGGCTTTCCTACCAGCTGTGACGGCTGGGCCTTCTCTCACAGGACTGGCCACGTGGCTGCTGGCCTCGTTTTGCAGCAAAAGGGCCTCTCCTGGCCGATGAGAGGGGCGCTGCCCTGAGAGGGTGGGGGGGGTCCGATGACCAGGACCCCGACACAGAGCCCTGTGGGAGAGAGCGAGCTGCTTTTCCCATCACGACTGTCCTACATCCCTTCCCTTCTGCCTTAATAAAATGGCCCCAGGGCTGTCGGCCCACCAGCCAGACTCTAATCCCAGCAAGCTGGGGGAGAGGACACAGGAGGCAGCCCCTACCCCGGGAAGGGCTCGCCACCCCCACCAGGAGCGGCCTTCACAGGGACCCCCGCCTGCCTGCCTCCAGCGGCCCTCTGCCCACGTGGCAGGACCCTTTGCCTGCCTCTTCCACGCAAGGGGGTCCTGGCCCACTCAGCTGCCTGGCCACAAGCCCCGCTTGCCTTCCCCGTGAGGGCTTTGCAAATAAATCTCAGCATGGACTGATCTACCCTTCACGTTGCCTTCGATGGCCAGGCCCGGGGATCTCGAAAGACGCTTCCAGGCCCACTGTACCCTCTGGGTCCCAGGGAGCCGGGTTGGGAAGGCTGGGTGGGTGGGGCCGTGTGCACAGGCTGTGGGTAGGCCTGGGTACTGCGGGGACCAGCCCTCCTCCGAGGGGGCGAGGCCTCGCTTGATTTCTCATGACACCAGCGAGGCACTAGTCCCCATCGGAAAGTTAGGGAACAGAAAAGCTGTGTACACAGAAGGAAAAATCTCAAATTTCTCATAACCACTTCCTCCCTCACTAAGAAAGACCTTTGATTTTTTGCGGGAGGTCAGGCCACGCAGAGAACAGGAACCTGTTTTCTTGGCTCCAGCAAGAGGAGCTCAAGCAGGGCTGGGGCTGGGTGAGGGCCCAGGTGCACCCTTGAGCTAGGGCCCCACCCCCCGGCTCCTGGCCTGAGACCCTGGGTGTGGCGAGGGGGTGGACAGGATGATAAGCCTTTAAAGGACGAGGGGGCTCCCATTCCAGGTTATTTAGCCGGTCCTGTCCCCAAGGCAGTGCTGAGGGGTGGGTGATGGGCTCAGGCGCAGCCCCCTTGCTCTGTGCTCAGCGTCCTTGCTCCTGGGGCCAGGCAGGGGCCTACGTCCGGGACACCCCAGAGTGGACAGCTGCCTCCCAGGCCTTGTCCCAGAGAAGGCAGAGCTCCAGTCCCTGAGTGGTCCCCTCCTTCAAGGCCCAAGATTACAGGCTTTAGGATGGCCCTGGGACCCCACTCCCTGTTCACATCCCCGATGTGGGTGTGACCCCACTGCGGGGAGACTCCGGCCAGGGGAGGGCAGCAAGCTGTACCTGGTTGTAGTGTGCGCCTCGGGAGAGAGGGAGGAGAAACAAGGCAGGCCGAGCCTGAGAGAGAGGCAGCTGTGGCCCAGCCGGGCTCCCCACCAGCACTGACCTTCACGCCAGGCCCTTGCCCCCAGCCGCCTCCTTGAGGCTGTGACGATGGGGGAGGGGGGCTCTTGATGTCCGTCCATGTGCCCCGAGCACGGCAGCGGGTCTGAATGTGTGGCATCTGGGCCTCCCAGAGCACAGGGGAGCCCAGTGGCCGGTCTCCCCTGTGCTGGGGACAGATGCCTCCCTCCCATCACGCCGCAGAACCATGCCTATGCCCTGTTAGGCCCCAGCCATGGCCCCATCTGGGGGCAACGGCCTGGTGGGCAGGGCCCAGGCCCTGTCTTCCCTCACCCGTGTGCTGACCACTCAGCCACTGTCCACAACTGTGCCCTGTGTCCACAACACATGCTGTCCTGCTTGTGGAGTGTCCCGGTCAGGACTCGTCGCCTGGGGAGGGCACAGCCCTGACAGGCAGTCACAGACCCTCTGCACTCACTGCCTTGTAGCCTTCCCACTGGGCAGGAGGACAGGACACACCCCGAGGCCACTTCAGCTGCGAACAGTCACCGACCGCCTCCAAGACCTGTGTGGGGAGAGGACATGCCTGTGGCCAGTGGTTGGCCTGACGCTGGGGGCCGGCTGGTAGAGAGCCAGATCCCTGTGGACCAAGGTAACCAGATAAGGCAGCAGTGGCCGAGGACTGACGGTCACTCTGTCCAGGGGGCCCTGGCCACTTGGGGCAGCACCAGACAGACCTGCATCCTGGCGAGCCTCGCCCGAGCTGTGCGACAGGGCCGTCCTCCACCACTCCCTCCATGTCTGGGTGCAGGGGGCCTGCCGGCAGGAGGGTCCCCTACACACACCTCCACCACCATTTCCGGGCAGGGGGGTGGGCGAGGGCTGCTTCTCCCTGTCCTCAGTCTCCCCCTCTATAGGACGGGAGGCCAGGTCAAGGGTGGGCCCATTTTCTGAGGCTGATTGTTCCACGTGGCTTCAGAATTCCTGGACACCGTGCCGTCCACTCCCTGCCTTCTGCGCCCATCAGTGCTCACGGTCCCTTTGCTCACAGGAGACCCCCCGGCCAACCCCCGCCCTTTGTCGTCGATGGAGAGAACACAGCCTCTGACGGAACGCCGTGGGCAGAAACCCCAGGGCCAGCACTCCCTGGGCGGAAGGAGTCCCTGCAGCCCCCCAGAAGCCGGCGTGAGTCGAGGCTTGGCCCTGCACCCTCTGTGGGCAGGGTGGGGGCCTGGCCTTGCTTGGTCGGGCTCTACTGTGTGGCTTTGGATGGGACGGGTCACCCTGTCCACCAGATGAGGGCGTGGATGTTTGGGGCCTGTTTGGCCCTTCCCAGGTGGATTCGTCCATTGAGGGGGTGTTTGGAGCCCGGGGGGTATCTGGTAAGTGGGGGTCTCCAGGGTCATCTTTAAGGGGACGGTCTTTGTTCATTCCCTTAGTCACAGGAGCATGCTGGGGGGGATCCACCGCTAAGGGGCCAGCACCGATGCCATGCCCTGGGGGCGGTCTCTCTCCAACATGCTCCCAGCAGGCGGCTGAAGGCAGCATAAGCCCAGCAGGGTCGGCACCAGAGCTGGATTTTGCCGACAGCCCCAAGGAGGAGCCCCACCAGATGGAAAGCCGGGCGTCAGGGGGACAGAGGTGTGCGGTTTGCAGGGCTGCCTTGGGCCGGCGGGACTCTCAGGCAGGAGTCGGGACCCGGGGCATGGAGATGCCTGTCCTCTCCTCCAGAGAACCTCATTCCCTCCGGGCACCCCTCGTCCTGGCCTGGGCCCCCTGGGCACCCCCAGCCCTCCCCGTGCTGTCCGGAGCCTGACCCCCTCTGTGGAAACAAAGACGTCCGCTGGCGAATCAGCCCCAGGTCCGGTGGTAGGGGCGGTAGGAGGGGCCCTTCTGGGGAACACGTGCCTCTGAGCTTCTCAGATGGCAACCCCCCAGAGACCTGACGCTGCAGGGACAGGCCAGAACCCGTAAACACAGGGCCCCTTGCCCCCACCCGGGGAGTGCCCAATAGGAAGGGGGCAGATGCCTGGCAGGCCGGCTGTCAAGCTCATGGGGTAGTTGAAGGTCCCGCAGAGGCCCTGAGCCTTGAGGAGGAGGCTGGCGGGATGGGACCTTCTCCGGGGAGCCCCCGGGACACCCCCAAAACTGTGCCTGCAGGATGGAGGCCTGTTGGCAGGAGGACCCCCACGACCCCTTCTCTCGGCCGGAAGCCGCCCCGTGGACTGCTGCTCCAGGTGACCCCCCCACAAAGGCCCCACCCTGCACAAGGGACAAGGAATCCCCACTTCGGGGTCGTCCAAGACCAGCTTCTCAGTCAGAGCCAGGTTTCTCCCAGAGCCCCACAAGGGAGCCCTGCCTGCCCCCACCCTCTGGACACGGGCCCTTGTAGGGCAGGCGAGGGAGACCCCTGTCCAGAGCGTCCGGGCCTCAAGGAAGCCGGCCAGCGCGGGTGCAGCCTCCCCGCCTCGCACACAGCAGCTCCCAGGCCAGACCCGCCCAGACGTGACTCCCTCCCACGTGGGTGGGCGGAGAGTGGGGGGCTCAGCCACGCGGGCGCTGTGGACATTTCTTCTGCCTGTCAGGGCGTTTCTGGTTTTGGGCCACTGGCTTGGGGCCCGTGGCTTGTGGGCTGCGGCCCGCCTGTGCCCCACAGGGGTGACACAGCATAAGGACTGTGGGCCTCACCCCCAAACGCCCCTCTCTCTGCAGCTCCTGCGCCCTCCAGCCCGTGTGCGGGCAGCCCCCTGGGGCTGGGCCCCGAGTCTGAGTCTGAGTCAGCTCCCCGGACCTGTGCTGGGTCCCGTGCCACCTCCTCCCTGAGCGGGCTGTCCTGCTGTTCTCTCCAGGAGTTTCAGAAGGCGTCCGCCATGCTGGTGCAGCTTTCTGAGAGCTCCGTCTCCCTCTCGGACTGGGAAACTGGGGACCCCACTGATGCAGACCCTGGCTGGTCTAGGGAGCTCTCACCTCAAGACTCCTGCGGGGTCCACCGGGGCGGGGAGCGGGTGGCCTGGGAGAGGCTGGAGGGCAGCAGGACCGGTCCCCAGGGTGGCTCCCCCATGGACGCAGGGGGTGCAGAGCCCAGGGGAGGCCTCGTGCAGGCGGGTCAGCTGCTGCCTCTCCCGGATGCCCCTTCTGAGAGGTCAGGGTCAGAGCTGTCAGAGGCATCCAGCGAGGTCTGGGATGAGGAGAACCTGCTGGGGCCAGGCCCTGGTGCTGACCCAGGCTCAGGGCGCCACTCCCCTGCAGGAGGCTCAGCTCACCTGGAAGGTGGCAGGGCGCCCTGCTTTGTACCTCCTTCCCTGGGCCCTGGGGAGGGGCAGGAAGCTTCCAGAACCAGCGGGAGCCTGATCAGTGGATTAAATACAGAAAGAGGCAAACAGGAGTCACCGGAGGCTGCCTTCCCACCACTCCCATCCACAGCCTCTCCCTCCCGTGACTTAGACCTGCCCCATTCCTCTCCCTCTGGGTCCCTGGCATCCGAAGGGGTGGAGTTTGGTGAAGGGGGAGACACTGGGGCTCTACAAGCCTCGGCTGGCTGCCCAGAGGGGCCTGGGGACACTGACCTGAGTCTGTCCAACCACAGGAAACCTCAACAGGCCTGGTCTGAGCCTGAGGTCCCCGTGAGTCCGCAGGCTCCTCCTGGGGACCCTGGTGGTCTGGTAGCCCAGACACCCGAGGGCTGGGCACCTGGGCATAGGGGGAGGGGACACTCCCCTGCCCCAGAGGAAGCCTGCCCTACCCTGGCCAGCGGGGTCTTGCCCGAGATCCTGTCCCCCGTGGACGATGTGCTGTCCTATGGCAGTGCTGACTTTCCGTCCTCCACCCACAGGGACACCAGCCTCCCTCCTTGGCCTCCCACCCTCCCAGCAGAGCGTGAGGGCGACAGCCTGCACTCGGGAGACTTCCCTCCCCCACCTGAAGACGCCATGTCTCCTGGGGGCTTGCCGGGCACCCCCGGGGAGGATGCCTCCATTAGAACTGGGGAGTTGCCCTCCTTGTCTGAGGAGGTCCTGCCTGAGCCACTGTTCCCGGGGCCCCAAGAGTCAGGGCTCCGCCTGGGGGCGGGCAGACAGGGTGAAAGCCTTGGGGAAAAATTGGGTGAATTGTGTTCTGATGGGGGAGCTGAGGCTGTGGGCAGCCTGTGGTCTGAGCCAGCTTGCTGCCTAGGGTCCCCCTTGTGGGGGGGGGATGGTGGTGCTGTGGGGGAGCTACCAAGCCTGCCAGCGCAGCCCCCAACCCCATCCAGAGTGGTCTTCATGGTCAGGGAGGGTCTGCCCATGTTGTTGTCAGCCGGAGGTACGGGGCGGTCTGGCACCAGGAACAGTGACCTGGATCCTGCTTTGGGCGCGGGCTCCTATGCAGATGTACCTGGTGGGGAGAGAGCCGAGGTGGTGGACTTGGTGTCCAGCCAGCTCACCAGAAGGATCCTGTGCGACACGCTTGCTGTGCTCTCGGAGCTGGCCCAGCCGGCCGACCTCTGACGGAGAAGCAGCTGTGTCCCCACGGCTGACCCGGCATGTCCCCAAGACTGATGAGACTCCTGAGGAGACAGGGCAGGGCCCGTGGTGACACACACCTGTGACATTGCTGTGTCATTGTGCCCATGCGTGCCCGTGTGTGTGGGAGGCTCCGGAAGCCTGGACCACTGAGGGCAGAGCCGCCGTTCAGAATAGCCTCCTGCCGTCGGCCGTGCAGGTGGTCCTCTGACGCTGGGCGGGGGACCGGGCACTGGCGTGACATCCCGTGCAGTGGGCTCTGTTCTTCCGGGCTTTGGGTCCACGGCTTCCATCAGGCCCCCAAAAGGGTCACTGCTGCGCAGTTCAAGAGGCGGGAAGCTGAAAGGTTGTGCGGGGCGTGTCCGAAGGCTGGCTGGCCCAGGACAGGTGCGGAAGTCACGGATTCGAGAGAGAACATTCTGGAGGAGCCGGGAAGGGGAGCAGCTCTGAGGCGGAACCAGGCGCCAGCCCAAGTTGACCGCCCGCCAGCACGGAGAGCCTTCCGCAAAGGCCACGGGAGAGAGCACCGTTCTGGGGATGTGGGAAGCCCGGGTGGAGGTGGGCAGGGGGCACGTCTGTGCGGGCTCACACCCTCAGCTCTGTGGCCCTGGGAGGCCCAGACCTGCATGTAGGCCAGCCCAGCTGTGCGGATTAGAGAAGTAGCCCACTCAAGGGCCAAAGGTCACAGGCCAAAGTTTGGCCTGTCCTCTGGGGGTAGGTGGGCCCAGGCCTACCTGAGCGCTCAGGACACCTTCTGGAAGACACAAGAGCCCGTTCCCTGGTGGCCGTCCCCCATGGAATGAGTCCTTGGGGACACCAGCAGTCTTCGGGGTGAGGGCGGGGTGCTGACCCCTCAGGCCTTGGCTCCTTCCATCCAGGGCCTCACACTTCCCAGCTTTCGGAGAGGAACTCATCCCCTCGACAGCATTTATGGACCCCTGGGAAGACCCAGACCTTCGTGACTTGTAGTTTAGGTAGGACACGTCTCCATGCCTGGCAGAGCCCCAAGGTCGGCCTGTGCCCTCCACCTTCTGGCTCTGGCAAGCTGCTTCCTCCAGGCAGCCCTCCACCAGGCCCCAGCTCGGGCAGCCGCGTGTCTGGGCCGGCTGCTGGCCAGACCCCTCTTTGTCACAGGCTGGCTCGTCCTGGCTCGGGGCTCGGGGAGGCACAGCTAAGACACCTCACGCGCTCCTGCTTTCTCCCAGGAGAGGCTTGGACCGGGGTGGGGGTGTTCACGCTCTGTAGACACATTTCCAAACGGCTTCTGAGCTACAGCTTTTTTATTGATTTCCTTCTAGTTTTCTGAACAAATTAGGCTGTAATTTTTTATTTTTCTCTATTTATTGCTGACCCTTTTGGATTTACGAGGCTGTGTGAGAGGAATTATGTATCTTACACACACACGTTTGGCTACCATGGTAATAAATCTCCTGCGTCAAAAGCCTGCAGATTTGCCCCCTTTCTGGCGGCCGTGGGTGGGGTGGCTGCGCTCCCAGCCGGACCCTCCTGAGCGACCTTCCCCGGTGCCGGCGGCCCCGCTCCCACGACAGCCCTGTGCTCTGCGGGAACTTTGTCCAGCTCAGCCCCGGGGAAGGTTTCTGACGCCCTCAGTCTCCCCCGGCCCGACGAATGCAGGGCACGGCTCTGGCGTTCGGGTCCATGGAGCCGGCAAAATTCCACACCGAGACTGCGGCCGCCAGGGCCTCACGCCTTGGCTCCAATCCCTGACAATCTCTTGGGCCGATAAATCCTGATACCGGCCTCCAGAGAAGTCATTTTCTTTCATAGAAAATGATTATTTCTCAGTTAAAGCCCACATTTAATTTTCCAGTGATCTGTCTCTCTCAGCTGTCCTGCTTTGCCGTCCCCTTCTGCATAAAATGCCCCCGGAGGCACCTTCAGCGCTTCAAACCCCAAATCACCAGACCAGCTTTATAGGGCCTTTTGATCCCTTACCCTGAGTGGCCGACACAGCCATTCCTATAAAACACAGCCGGGAGGGGCGCCTGGGTGGCTCAGTGGGTTAGGCCTCTGCCTTTGGCTCAGGTCATGATTCCAGGGTCCGGGGATCGAGTCCCGCATCGGGCTCTCTGCTCAGCGGGGAGCCTGCTTCCCGCCCCCTCTGCCTACTTGTGATCTCTGTCTGTCAAATAAATAAATAATATCTTAAAAAAAAAAACAAAAACCACCACTGAAGGCCAGGAGGGCAGGTATGGGGCAGCAGCAGCTATGCACCCCCAGGGGAACACAGCATTGCCCATCTGGATGGTGATGTCCTGTGCCCAGGGCACGTAGCCCCCCAGGGTCTGCCTGGGCCACGTTCTCCAACTGTCGGCTGAGCGCCCGAGCAAATCCAGCTGAGATCAGACCTGTCCGTGCCCAGTCCCCAGGCAGCATCTGGGCCCCAGAAGAAGGTCTGCAAGTCCCCATGGCCTACCCTCTGCCAGGCATCGATGCCAAGCTGCTCCCCACCATTTGTCCCCTAGCACAGGCCCTCCCATGTCTCCGTGAGCACAGCTGGGAGCAGGTGGTAGAGTTTGCAAACTGTGCCGACAGGTTTGGCACACAAGGACAGGATCATGGGCACAGGTGCAGCTCCCCTGCACCCGTGGCCCTCCCTCCAGCGGCCGCATCCACCCAGGCCGTAAGATGACCCAGCGGGGCTGCTGTGACGCTCAGAGCCTGTCCTAAATGCTGCTCTCCACCTCTTCCTGGAGGTGTGGCAGGGACCCTGTCCCCACACGTCCACCGTCCAGGCCCTCTTCAAGGTATCCTTGTGAGGACACACGGTACTGAACCCGCCCGCCCCCCCGCCCCAGCCAGGCTCTGTTCCTGGCATGTGGCATTGGTCTGGAATAGTCGTCCTTCTAGAAGGTTTCTGAGGAATGGATGGTGTTCCCGAGCAGCTCCGTGGGGACACCAAGCACCAGCTGGATGGCAGGGCCCGCTCTGGAGCCCGGGCTGCAGCTGGATCCCTCCCTCGGCCCCATGCAGAGCCTGCCCTGTCTGTGGGGCACAGAAAAGGCTCAGCGGCTCTGCCCTCCGGGGCTCGTGCCCATCCAGCCGCACAGGCTAGCGTGGCTCAGCCCTGGGAGCAGGGAAGGAGCTGCGCCTTTGCCGGCCCCTCCTGAGCCTCAGGGTGCCCAGGTTGGAGACCGCACCGTCGAATTTGTGCCATGTGCCCTGAACTACAGTACCTGGGCCCCCGAGCCTCAGTTTTCCCCTCTGTAAACAGAAACACCATCCCTCACTGTATCCGCTCCACAGTGCGGGCGTCCCCACCGTTGGATGCCTGTGGTCGCAGCGCGTCGTCCTGTCGGAGGGTCAGACAATCACCCTGGGCTGCGCATGTTCCTTCCTTAGCAGCACAGTCGCGGGGGCCCGCGCTCCTGTGTAGGGCAGCGCCTCTCTCGGGGCAGGGCGGTGCCAGGGTGGGGGCGTGGGGGCGTGGGGCTTGGAGCAGGGCCTGGAAGGCCAACAGGAGCAGCAATGCTGCCGGTTTCTTGGATTCTAAGATGCACCCCCCACACCTCGTTTCAGTGCTTCTGAGCTTGGCTACACTCCACACTCAACGTGTGCGTTTCCAGGTGCAGCGTCTCCGTGCTGGGCGAAGCGGGTGCCACAGCTGGCTCGATGTCACCCAGCCCGTTTGGGGTGAAGTGTCACCTGCCCATGCGGACTGGCCGCCAGCGGGGCTCACGAGGTCAGCGGCATGAGCCTGCCTTGTCCCCGCGTGGCAGGTGACCCCCTGCCCCCTGCCTGATGAGATCTGAGGGAAAGGAATCCCCACAGTAGGAAGGGGGGTTTGGCCAGTTCTCTCTGGGACTGGGGCTGGTGGAGCAGGTGCTGGCCGCCTGCCGGCCAAGGAGGGAACAGGAGAACCCCAAGGCTGTTCGGTGAGGCCAGCACGTACCCCACTGCCCCAGAGTGCTGCCCCAGAGCACCCCACTCTGGCTCCCTCGCCACCTGGATGGGGACACGCAGGTCCCGGGGTAGAGCAGTGACAGTGGGATTTGCACCTGCGGAAGAGAGAGGCACCGTCCCTCCAGGCGGCTCTCGGTGTCTCCCCAGAATTCCTATGTTGAACATTAACCTCCCAGTGTGCTGGTGCTGGGAAGCAGCTTCTGGAGGTGGTGGGGGTTTGATGGGGTTGTGCAGCCGGGGCCCTGTGAGAAGAGGCCCCAGAGAGCTCTCTCTCCCTCCGTTCACAGGGGCACCCAGAGGAAAGGCTCCGGGGGGACGCGGCAGGAAGGCGGCCAGCAGTTCGCAAACCCAGGAGTGGGCCTCACTGGAAGCTGACCCGAGGACCCCTATCTGGAATGTCCAGCCTCCTGAACTGTGGGAAACGAATGTCTGTCGTTCAGGAAATGCCTGGTCTGAACGGGCCAAGACAGCATCCTAGGTCAAATTCCTCCTGGGAGTGGGGTGCAGGCGTGCATGGCGGCCTGCAGGAGCCCGGCCAGCCTGTCTTTGCCAGCCCGATGACCAGCCTGCTGGTCTGTTTCTGCCACTGTCGTCTTGTGGCTTAGTGGCCGTGCCTCCCAGGTGAAGGTCTAACTGGTCATAGGTGAACAGGGCAGAGGCAGGGGGCATGGGAGGCCCAGAGGAGGCTGAGCTCCACCCCGAGGGCAGCAGGGGCTCCCATGGGCCCCAGCAGAGGAGGAGGGACCCATGGAAGCACAAGAGGCAGACAGGGGCTCCCTTAGGACGTCGGTGCAGCCCCCTCTGTGGAGAGGGGCTGAGCTGGGGAGATTCGGGGGTGTAGGGACTGGGTGCCTCAGTGGCTGGCTTTCGCCTTCCCTTTCCCTCCCTGGGTTCCACTAAGCCCACCCTGGCTCTCCCCAACCTGTTCCCTACTGGGAGGGGCTCTCCCTCCTGCCTGCAGCCCTCCTACCCGCTTCCAGATTTCCACTCCCCTTCTCAGAAGGTCTCCTGGGAAGAGCCATAGATCAGGTCCTCACAGATCGCTCCTTCTCTCCTTCGGCCTTTCCATAAACTGTTCCCTCTGTCCTCCTGGCCTCCTGTGGTGACCTGCACCAGCCCTACCTGCCCTCGGAGCCCCACACCCCCAGAGCCCACCAGTGGCCTGGCACCTCCCTCAGATGCGGAAACAAGCTCGGGCTTCCATCTCACCCCGACTCCGCCCGGCATTCTTCACCAGTCCCCAGCAGCTCAGTCCGCAGCTACTTCCTCCTTCCAGCTGCTCTGGCCAAAACCCTGTAGGAGGACATGACCTGTCTGTCTACATCTGGGTTTGATTCACCATGTGTCTTACCTTCAAGATGTTCCCAAAGTCCGACCCCATCACTGGCACTGCCATGCGCCACCATGAGTCCCACCATCCCTTGGGGGGCTGTGATGGCCCGCCACGGGCTTCCTGCTTCCCCTTGCCCCTCCTATATGGCAGCCAGAAGAGCAGACCCACATCCCTACTCAAAATCCTCTGATGGCCACACGACTTTCAGAGCTGGGGCCCTCGTCTATAGTCCAGCTAGTAAGGGCCCACCCAGAGCTCCTCTCCGCTGGTTCTCTGGTTCCCTCCCTTCCCTGGCCTACTCTGCTCCGGCTGTTCTTCCAACATGCTTGGTCCTTCTACCTCAGGGCCTTTGCACATGCCCTCCCTCTGCCTGGGCTGCAGAAGAGCCAAGAGGCCTGAAGCATAAGGCTCTGACCAGGCCAGTGACTGCCACTGACTCACGTCTGCTCTGTGACCCACTTCCTCTCTTCTCTGTTTCAGTCCCACAGTCCAGAGAAAATGTGGATATGCATAACAGTTACAAATAACAATTAAAAACCAGGTCTCCTGTTGAAGTAAGCAAAAAGGCATAGTGATAGGAGTTGAGGAGTCGATAGGTCGTCAGGGAGCTGGCGTGAGCAAGGTCGTACCAAGCATCTGCGGGTCAGGCTCTATATGCCGAAAACTGGACAAGCAGCCACTGGGCAAAGAACCCATGAAGGGACCTAAAGCAGACAAAGAACGTTGAAAATACAGTGTGGAAGGCTGAACCGCCGGCCCGGATCCCGGGAAGTGAGGACCGGGCGCCATGCCCGCCGGGTCCTGGACGCCACAGCCGTAGACAGAAAAGTCTCTAAACCGACCAGGGGGAAAACGGTCAGCAGTGGCCCCCGCCCAGAGAAGACTCCTAAGGCACCTGGACCAGACCCTGCAGGGCTGTGCTGCCCCCAGCCCCTTCCCTCCCGTGCGGGAGTCCTTCCTGCTCAGTGAAGCTGCCGCCTGGTCTGGGTCTCTCCTCCCCCCAGTGCGCTCGGACACGGATGTGGGGGACGCCCACTGGGCGCTGGGGACTTCTCTGGGGGCTCATCAGGGGTGTCAGGGAGGCCGAGCAGTACCGCGACAAAGGCACTTTCTCCTTTCTTCTCCTTTCCTTTCTCAGGCCATCTCTGCCCTACAAACGTTGCTGTGGCGCGCAGGAGCACCACGGGAATCCGTCAGCCCGCATGCCCGCTGTTCTGAAGGCTCGGAGGTCGGGCTTGGTGGACCCGGACTGTGCAAATCGTCCTGTTCCCCGAGCGGGAACTGCTGGCTCTGTCCAGGGTCAGGGGCTCCGAGGCTGTTCGATGGCAAGGGGCGCCCCCTCCCGGCGCCTGAGGGTTCCCGGCCAAGGCTGCTCATTGCTGGCTTCCAAAGTAGAAGGGACACGGGGACCCGACGGGCGACCCGACCCAGCGGACCGCTGGCGGCAGTCCCGAGTGAGCAGTGTGCAGAGCGGAGCCATCTCCTCTCCCCGACCTCGCTTCCTCTCCTCCCTGCTTTCCCCTGCATCCCTTTGACCCTGAGTTTTTTTCCCCTGAGATCTGCACCAGGTGACAGGTGGGGGCTTCTCTGGGGCCACAGATGACACCTGTGGCTCGTTCTGGCCCACGGTCCCACCTCCGGTCACCAGCGGGGCAAAGGCTTGTCACACCCCTGCTGCAGGAGGCCTTTTGCTCCTGTAAGTAGCGTCGGTAAGTCTCTGGGTAGCTGAGAGGAGATGTGAATGGGGCCAATGGGGGATCCCGATTTGCCTTCCCTGGGAAAGCCTGGCTGCTGCAGAGGGAGGTCCCAGATCGGAGCACACAGCCCAGGCTCTCATCTGGAGCTCTAAGTCAGGACAGAACCCCACCTGCCTGCTGAGGCCGTGGTCGGCCTCTCCCTCCGGGGAGCCCCACAGGCCATGCCCCCGAGGACCTGGTGGGGACAGGCCGACCGCACACAGGCCAGCTCTAGCGCTGAAACAGGAGAAGGAGGGCGCGGGGAACCAAGGGCTCACGGGCACCAAGCACCAAGCTACAACCCCGACAGGCCTCACCCCTGCCCCTAGCCGCAGAGGTAGGCCTGTTCAGACCCCACTCAAGACGCAGACAATCCCGGGGGCCCTCAGGAAGTCCTTATTCTGTGGGAAACACGCCCTCCACCGTTCACTCTCCCCTGGAAGGCATCGTCACAACCGACCCTCAGAAAGAAGCGTCTGACAGCCTTCTGCCCTGGTGCTGGCCCGAGGACCAACCGGAAAGTGGAGGAAACTGCCTTCCGGGGGAAGTAGAAACCACACCATCCGGCCCTCAGACCTGTTCTGTAAAAACAAACAAACAAGGCAAATGGTCTGGAGGTTCCTATTTATGTGGGGGCTCTCTCCGCCCTTCGGGGTAGCCCTGGCTGCTCCACCAAAGCACCCTCCCCCCATACAGACGGGAGACTGAGCACCCCGTCATTCCTCTCTCCTCCCACTGCAGGAACAAGCGCTGGTGGAGGGAGGGACCCCTGGGCCGGTCTCCCACCCGTTCTCACTCCAGGACTTGAAGCAAACAAAAAAGGCCACAAGAAAAGGTTCGGCTGATCTTGACAACTCTCGAGGTCCCTGTAGAAGCCAGCCGGGTCTTCCATCTTCCCGGGAGAGACAGTATGTTCCTCCCGAATTGGACCCTCTCTGTCTCTGAAAAGGATCACCCGTGTGGGCAGCCAGGACTTACGGAGCCGAGCCATGGACAACGGGAAACCCCGACCCTCCTTGAAACCTCCGGCCTCCATCTGAGCCCCCCTCAGATGGAACGAGGGGAGGCCCGAGAGCAGGGGCGGCAGGCTCCACACAAGGAAGAGGAGGAGGAGAGCCTCTAGAGGAGGCTGACACCCTTCCACGTCCCACTGGGAACCGGGCTGTCCCGATGGGGGGGGGTCCTATGCCTCTGAGGAAGGGAGATGGAGGACCAGACATGCCCCTCGATGCGTCGCTGAGCATTTCGAACACACATGCGATAGGCCTCTTTTTAGAAAAGTTCTGAGAGGCCCTGAGTAATCTATTAAACTTAACAATCCGGATCCTGATAATTACTAGGGACAGCTTACTCTTAAGGACACATTTGTCACCCATCTACATATATATTTTTTTTATTTACTTGAGAGAGATCGACAGAGAGAGAGAGAGCACAGAGAGGTGGAAGCAGGCTCTCCGCTGAGCGGGGAGCCCGACACGGGGCTTGATCTCAGGACCCCAGGATGGTGACCTGAGCTGAAGGCAGACACTTAACCACTGAGTCCCCCAGGCTCCCCTTGCTCAGGCTACCTCTGACATTAGGAAAAGTTACAAAGATCTCCTCGCGGACCCGAGGACAACCTCCTGAGGACGGCTACCGCCATCTTCCACACTAGGTGAGGCACCTCGGGGAGCTCCCCCAGGAGACACAACTTGCATGGCCCGCTCTGCTGCCCACGTCCTGTTAAGGGTCAGGAATACTCCCCCTCCATAGGAGATGAACCTCTAACAGATCTGAAGCTTCTTTTCAGGAAAAACGCAGCCCTTTCCTCGATGCCAGAAGAGTAATGACTATTAGTCTTTCTCCGTCATTCACAGCTTTAGGTGCTGTCTTGCTTCATTTTGCTGCGGGATTACACGCAGCGCCTCCCTAGAGTGGGAACCTGTCAGAGGCCCTGGTTATGCTGCTCCTGCCTTTCCTATACAGACTTATTTATTTATTTATTTGGATCGCACAGGCACCAGCTGGGGGAAGGGCAGAGGGAGAGAGTATCTCAAGCAGACTCCCGAACTGCGGAGCCCACCACCCTGAGATCACGACCTGAGCCAAACCAAGAGTCAGATGCCCGACTGACTGAGCCCCTCCGGCGGCCCTGCTCCTTTCTTCTCATAGCTTCAGCCCTGTGGGCTACCTTGGCCTTGGGCCCACTGAACTCATCGGTTGGGCACCGCCCAGCACCTGTATTTGGGAGCAGAAGGGCAGCCTTAAGCCCGTTAAGTGTGTGGTGGTGCGCAGCCCACACCCGTCCGCGCTCTGCACTGCTGATCGCGTGTGCGCGGTCCCCACCAGGCACCTGCAGGCTGACCGGCCAACTCAACGGAGTGGGCCAGGGCGCAGGCCAACCTGTCATTCCACTGGAGGGTCCATGGCTGCAGACTTGAGCGACTACTCCAGGCTCTCCAGGTCTGCGGTGGGGATCCCCTCATGCAGGGAACCCCCTCCTTGGGTCAACGTGTGGCTCTTGACAGCAAGGCCCCCAGCTGCCTCCAAGCACACGGCTCCCCGGGACCAAGGCGGAGCCCTCTGGTCACCACGGAAGCACGGCCCATCGGGGCACATCGGGGCAGACAGGCGGGCCCGCGTTTCTCGGGCCGCGGGCACACAGAGCGCTGAGCCGCGGGTCCCGGGAAGCGAGGACCGGGCGCCTTGGCCCTACACGGGAAGGTCCCCAGGCCGGCCGGGGGAAGCGGTCGGCGGTCAGCGGCTCCCCTCCCGCAGCGCGCGCTGCCCGGCGGCGGGGACGCGGCCCAGACTGAGATGCCCCGGAAACCGAGCTCAGGGCAGCGGAAGCCCAAGTCCAGGCGGGGCCCTTCGGGACTAAGTTTCCGGCCAGAAGACGGTGCGGTGAGGCCCGCACGTCGGACACGAAACCTTTTCAGTCGCTAAACCCGGCGACCCTGCAGGGGGCGGGGCCGGGGGCTCGGGGGCGGGGCCGGGCGCGCGCGGCGCACGTGACGCCGGTTGCCAGGGTGAAAGGTCAGGCGCGCCGCGGCACTCCCAACATGGCGGCGGCCGAGGCGGCCGAGGCGGCGGCGGGGACGGCCCGCAGCTTGGGAGCCCCGGCCCCGGCGGGGGCGGCGGCGGCGGCGGCGGCCCGAGCCCGGCGGTTGCCCCCTCTGCTCGTGCTGCTGGCGGCGGCGGCGGCGGGCCCCGGGGCGGGCGGCGCGGCGCGGCTGTACCGCGCGGGCGAGGACGCCGTGTGGGTGCTGGACAGCGGCAGCGTGCGCGAGGCCACGGCCAACAGCTCGGCCGCGTGGCTCGTGCAGTTCTACTCCTCGTGGTGCGGCCACTGCATCGGCTACGCGCCCACCTGGCGGGCCCTGGCCGGGGACGTGCGAGGTGAGGCGCGCCCTTGAACCCTCTCCCGCCGGCGGCGCGTACGGCGGGTGCTCGGAGCGGGCCGACGGCTTAGCCCTCCGGATGCGCCGGACGCCTGCGGGGGCAGCCCGCACCGGCCCCGGACCGCACGGTCTCGCCCGCCGCCGGGGGCCGGGCCCGGGGCGCCTCGCCGGCCCCGCGCGGCTCAGCTGGGGCGCGGTGGGGGGCGTCCGCTGCACCCGCCCGCCAGCTGGCAGAGCTTTGAGGTGGAGCTCCCTGGCCCGGGAGTCGGAGCTGCCCTCCGCACGGGGAGGGCCGGCCGCGGTCCAGCTGGCGCTCGCTAACCTCTAATTACGCGTTTCCGTGGGCAGGAGCGGAGCAAATTGCTGCATTTTCTTCTGCGCTTTTGTTTCTGGATCTGACGTCTTCCTCTGCTTTGATTTTCTTCTCCATCACGGGACAGACTCATACACTACTTAAAAGCCTAAATAAGATTTTTGTGCAAAATCGTAAATGATTATCTGTTTATTTTATTTTTAAGATTTTGTTTATTTGACAGAGACAGATCACACGTAGGCAGAGAGAGAGAGAGAGAGAGAGAAGGAGGGAGGGAGGCTCCCTGCTGAGCAGAGAGGCCAAAGTGGGGCTCGATCCCAGGACCTGAGATCATGACCCAAACCGAAGGCAGAGGCTTAACCCACTGAGCCACCCAGGCACCCCAGCAAATGATTATCTTTAAAATGTGTTCTCCTCTTACTTTGGAGTGTTGGGAGCCTTTTTTTTTTTTTTTTTTTTTGTACAGATTTTATTCACTCATTTGACAGAGATCACAAGCAGGCAGAGAGGCGGGCAGACAGATAAGGAGAAGCAGGCTCCCCGATGAGCAGAGAGTCTGACCACGCGGGGCTCGATCCCAGGACCCTGAGATCATGACCCTAACCAAAGGCAGGCGCCCAACCGCCTGGCTCGGGGCGTCCCTGCGTGTTGGGATTCTTGATTCTGAAGGCTTTGTTTTCTGATCTCGTTTTCTTAAGCCGCCAGTGTTTGGACCCGAGGTCAGAGGCTAGGAGGTGGACAGACTGCCCCTTAAAGGTTCTCTTAAAGCCTTTTCTCTGAGAACAAACAAGCATTTTAATAACAGAACTTTTCAGTTGTCATTTGTTTTTTAGTGGCAGAAGCGACATGTAAATTCAAATGCAAATGCGGGTATCTGTCTGTGGCAAAACATTTGTCACCTATTTTGTGTGTATTTTGATTCACTCACTGGGCATCTGAAACAGAAATGCCGTGAGCCAGATTCGAACATTGCAGACTGTTCTGTGTTGAACCAGCATGTAAGGGGCCATGGGGCTTGGACGGAAGGTTCCTTCTAGAAATGAGGGCGGTAAAATCCATACCTAATGGGGTGATTAACTCAGCTGTTTGCTGAATACAGTTATCTTAACAGGATTGGACGCTGTCCAAGTCAGGCCTGTGGTGGAAGGGAGATGTGGCTGGAAGTGAAAAGCAGCTGTGGTCTGAGGGAGGGTGAGGACAGCTGCAGGAACACCTGGGCAGAGCCCTCGGCACTGGGGAGTGGCCCACTTGGGATCCCCAAAGAGAGGTCACCTGGGGACTTGTTAGAAAGACAAGGGCCCCAATCCAGGCCCAGCCTCCTGTCAGCACAAGCCCCACGTCTGCAGGATCACTGTTCTCAGGGACGCTGGGCCTCGGGAGACACCTGCATGTTAAGGTTCATGGCCAAGAGCGCCAGGAATCACAGCACATGACCTCTTCCTCGTGGATGTCTGCCACACACAAGAATTCCTCAGGAAAGGAGTGCGCTAAGTCTAAGCCTTTGCTTCCCTCTTGATCTACCACAGGGTCCTTTTTGTGCCTAATTTCAGCCAACTCCCCATGGAATCACAGGGAAGAAGCACCCTTTCCCCACCCCTGGCCGCCCACAGGGGAGCAGATGCCCATTGTTCCCCATGTGAATGCAGGCTTTCCTCCCCCTGTCACCGCTTGGCCCCATCAGTCACTTGTGAATTCGGCTGTCCGGTCCCTGGGGCACACAGACCTTGGCCTGGGCCACCACAGGGGCCTCTCACCACCGCTCTTAAAATGGAGAGCACCCAGCCAGGTTTTTCCATCCACCACTCCTCCAGCCCCATCTCAAGGCTTCTGGAAAGTGGGATAGGCTTGGCTCCTCGGTGAGATTGCCTGGGGTCAGGGGAGCTCTGTCTCCCCTGCGTCCCTCCACCATTGCTACCTCAGGGACCTCTGCCATTTGCTCCGAAGGGACTAAGGGACAGGACAGGAGGGGTGGTCTGCAGGGGGTGGGGCTCCTCCCAGTTCCAGGAACAGCTGAGGGGGGCCTTTGTTTTTCTAAAAGAGAGGTTGAAGTTTAACACTTCACTGACATTTTCAAGGTTTTGAAATAAGTGTTTTTCCTTGTAAGAAGGCTTAACAAACAAAAGGTCTACTGTTGGGTGTCGCCAGTGTTTCTGTGGATCTGGCTTAGGCCTGTCAGTTCTAAATCCTTTGCAAAACAGAACCCTGCTGTGTTCCTGGAAATCATTTAGCCCCGAGCTCTGAGCTCCGCCTGCGGTGCCGCAACCCACCGCTTTCCGCCCGGGAGCTGTCTCTGAACTAGCTCTAGGGAAACTTGCTCATCCCGAAGAGTGTCCCTGTCAGGGTCAGGGTCACCAAGGCCTCAGCCTCTGTGCTTGTGGGTCTCGCATGTACTCCTGTCTTGCGGAAGCAGGCAGATTTTCTGCAACAGCCCTGGAGTCCTAGGTAAGGCTCAAAGGGGAGCCAGAGACTTGGCGGGCAGTCACAGCGCACACCTCTTCTCCCTGCTCTGTGAGGGGTTGTTGGTGTCACCCATGTCCTGGATGGTGATGCCTGGAGGTCGTTCTCTTAGGGTCACACAGCTGAGTGACAGGCTCTGTGGCTCCGAGACCTATGGCTCCCTCTGCGTGGTGGCCATGAGGCAGGTGCTCATTCCTGCCCAGAGTCCACTCTGGCTTGCCCCCCTTGAGCTCCTCACCACGCAGTCTGGTTTTCCCACCCATGCTGGCCTGTTGGAGATGAGCTAGGACTGCTTGGTGTCCCCCATGGGCGCACATCCAAGCAGAGAGGGTGGAGAGTAGGGGTGGCGGCTGATGGGGGAGGGGTGACGACACCAGCAAGAGCTACTGGTCAGTGCACCTGCAGGGGTGTGCAAGGTGGGAAGCCGCAGGAGGCTTCCGGGAGTCTGCCTGGACCCTGGAGAGGGTGGACAGAAGGTGGGAGGCAGGCAGGGGGTGACATCCACCTGTTATGGCCCCAGGAAAGCCTGTTGTGCCCCCCACCCCTGGCCCAGGTAGCTGTGGTTAGCCCCGAGTGAGACACGCCCGTGAGACCCAGACTGTGTGATGCCTGTGGCCAGAGGAGCACCACTCGGCACTGCCAAGCTCAGTGATGTCAGGTGTGAGAACTGGGTCATCAGGGTGGGGGGAATGGGGGCTTTTCCTCTCTCTGGCCAGCATTGTGAGGCTTCAGCCATTTGCCAGGAGAGAGGCTTGCGGCCAGGACGGCAGTGTCCCATCGGGCTCTGGAACAGCCGCCCAGGACTGTGTGTGGAACTCTTTCACCCCTGTGCTGGGCTGTGCTGGGGTGGGAGCAGCGCGGAGACCCTCCCTCTGCTCCCAGAGGACGCTGAGCAGAGTGTGCCCGGATTCCATCCACCTCCAGTAACTTCTGGATGGCTCAGGCTGGACCTGCTGCTCACTACGTGGGCTCGATTTCTACCCAGACTTACATATGTTTCTTTTTTTTTAATGTAAGCTCCTTGCCCAGCGTGGAGCCCAGCACAGGGTTTGAACCCTGAGATCGTGACCCGAGCTGAGATCCCAAGTCGGACACTCAACGAAGCCAGCCAGGCGCCCCTACCCAGGCCTGTGTAGCTTAAACTTGCTCTTGAACTTGGAGCCTGAGCCTGAACAAGAAGACCTTGTTGAAGCAGGAAAGGGCCTGCACAGGGGGAAAGAGTGTCCTCCGGTGGCTGGAAAGTGCAAACCCCACCACCCTGGCTTCACCTGGAGGGAGACACCCCCCCGCCCAGTGCGGCTCTGCCTTCCAGACAACCCTCCTCTTGCTCCCTCCAACCCCAGGGGGGAACGACTCCATACTGTGATCGTTTTCTAGGACAGATTGATGCCTGCCTGCAAATCAGACTTACAGAGACGTTTTATTAGAACTTGGCAAGTAGTGGTACGAGGTTCAATCCTGTAAGTTAAGAATAGAGTTACTTGAAGGGTAAACATGAAATAAATTTCAGTTTGCTGTTACACAGAAGCTTACGTCTTTGACAGATAGGTTTTCAGCCTGTGGTACTGAAAGTGGGCAGGCCTGAGAGCAGCGTGGAGCGTGGCTTGCAGACTCCTCTGGGTGCCCCTGGAGGCCGCAGGGCCTCCCAGCTGGTGCCCTCCCCCCGTCTGGTTGGGGTGGCCTGACATTTTGTCAACCAAGCGGTTTGCATTCAGTTTAGAGTGTTTCTGTCCTTTGTATGGTGGGGTCTAGACAGGTGGGAAAGGCAGGAGGTGGGGAGGGTATGAGTTGAATGAGGCAAGTACCCCGAAGCTAGACCTTTGAAATAGTTTGCATTTTACTTGATAAAATAGACTGTCTCTTTTGTGTTTGCATGAATGCCTCCATCTGCCAGCGCGTAAACCGAAATTCTCCCTCTGCTGCTTTCCTCGCCAGCCTTCCCGCCCAGCGCAGGCAGGCTTCCTTTCCCAGACGGACAAAGGCCTGGTGAGGTGTCAGCCCTCCCCTCCGCTCAGCGGCCGGGTTCAGGCGGGCGGGCTGGTCAGCCGGCTTAGTTCTGCGGAGTGCTTGAGGACCGGTGTCCCAACAGCCTCTGTGCGCTGGCCCGTGGCACTGTCCTCGCCCCGTCCATGCTTCTGCGTGCTCCCTATGGAAGTAGAGTCTGATGTCTGCCCTGCGTCAGTCCTGCGTGTTGGAACTTGTCCTGAGTATGTTCTGTGTGGCCCTGG